GCTGGGCACAAGATGTTCTAGAGTTTTCTCTCTGGGACGTTCTGTTAGGAGAAGAGGCTCTGGGACTGTCCCGTTGGGCACAGGATGACTTGGGGGTTTCCCGTTGGGTGGTTCGGTTGGGAGAGGTGGCTCTGGCATTGTCTTTTTGGGCACAGCATGTCCTGGGGTTTTCCCACTGTGGAGGACAAGCAGGAAAAGCATTTGGGGGGTTGTCCTGTTGGGTAGGAGGGGTCCTTGGGCTATCTTGTTGGGTGGCTCTGAGGGAAGAAGAAAGCCGAGGACTGTTCCGTTGAGGGGACGAGGTTCTGGGGTTGTCCCGCTGGGAGATTCTTGAGGGAGAAGAAGTTCTCAGGGTCTTCCGCTGTGTGGATGAGGCCCTGGGGGTGTCCTGTTGGGTGGATGAGTTCCTGGGTTTGTCCCTCTGGGTGATTCGGTGGGAAGAGGAGGCTCGTGGGGGTTCTCGTTGTGCACAAGGAGGCTGGGCAGTGTCCCTTTGAGTCGAGGAGGCCTGGTGGGCGCCACTTCGAGGTCCACTCTGTGGTGTCTCCGAGGAAGCCTGGGCTGTCGAGGAGCGCTGTTGCTCCAAGGAGAAGTAGCCACTTTCTCCCCGGAGCTTCGCCCAGTGCTGTCTGCTGCTCTGACTCCCACCGCCCGGATCTGGGGAGAGATGGGGAGGTTTGACGCAGGGAGGCTCCAGGCAGCTCGCACACCCTGCATTTCTTTTGTCTCCTGGGATCAGTGATTAGGGAAGACCTTGTATTGGCTTCTAAGAGGTCCCACTGTCCATATAGAGGGACCCCACCCTTCTGACCAAGGCTGGTTAGACAAGGGCTGGGACACCGCCCTCCAGCTGGGGCAGGAATGGGAAACCCAGGGCCAGATGACTCAGTCAGTAGAGGGTGGGTGCCAGAGCTGGAAGGTCACGTAGTCTGGGGTCCAAGGACAGGTCAAAGACTCACAGAGGGAAGTTTTGACAACAGCCCCAGGACCCCAAGGGGATGAGGGATCTGGCAGCAGTTACCTAGCAACTTTCCCTTCCCGGTTCTACTTCCTGCAGCTGGATTCCCACAGATCAACCCGGTTTCTTCTAAGGAGCCCCTTTGGTAAGTGGGAGCTCTAGAGGGCTCCAGTTCCCTGTGGCTGGGGGCTCCTGTCCCGCGGCTGCTCCCAAGGCTGCAGTGAGAAGGGCCAGGCCAGGGTTGGCTCAGCCTTGCAGGACTACACAGCTGGGTGCAGGGAGGAATGCAGACTCTCGGCCGCCCCAGGCACAGCCTCAGAATCTGCGCTTGACTCGATTCCCGGGCCGTCCGCACACCCTGGGTGTCGGGGGTGCTGGTGTAAGGGATTAATGCAGCTGGTCTGGATAGCGACCCCTTCCTGACTCCTCATCCCAAGATAGGGTCTCTGTGACCTTGGTGTCACTTTCCACCCCGCTCGGTCCCATGGCCATCAGCTGTGTGTGTCCCTGGGCTGGTGCTCAGGCGAGAAGCACCGTGGCCTTGTCCAGAAGGAGCCTTCACTGAAGCCTTGCTTGAGGTCCCCCTTCCTCCCTCTGCCTCTCCAACCTCCCATGCTGGTGTCACTCAAGTCTGAACTCCCAGCACCTGGCACTGTCGCTCCCTGATGGGCTAGTGTCCCACAGTCACCCTCAAATGCACCCCAAAGTCACCCTTTTCTCCTTTCAGCTCCTCCCCCCACCCTAGGCCTCTGGCACTACATGTATGCCCTGGCCCAGTGTCACCGCCCCCCCATCCTTTCCAAAGCAAAGTGACCAGATGCCCCTGCTCACAACCCTTCAGGGGAAGACAAGCGGGGGACAGGAAAGCTGTCACAGGTCAGAGGACGCCTGCAACGAAATACAATGTGAGGTGCTGGACTGGATCTTGCCACCAGCAGCCATCCAGGGCCCGGGAAAGGGGTGTGTGGGAAGACGCACTGACACGAGGGAACCAAATTCCTCCCTGGGGTGCCAATGGTCTGACAGCCAGGAGGGACACGAGCCAGTAGCAGCATCCCCAGTCCCCACCAGTGTCAGTTTCTCAATTCAGATCATTGAGCTATGGCACAGGGGACCCTGGGTGAAGGGGACAATAGCAACTCTTGGGACAATGAGTACAGCGCAACTCTTCTTCTTCTTTTTTTTTTTTTTTTTTTTTTTTTTGAGGCAGGGTCTTGCTATGCAGTTCAGGCTGGCCTTGAGCTCACTTTGTAGCTCAGGGTGGTCTGGAACTCGCCATGCTCCTCCTGCCTCAGCCTCCCAAGTGCTGTGATTACAGGTGTGCACCACCAAGCCCGGCTTGCAACTCTTCTATAAATCTAAGATTATTTTAAAGCAAAAAGGTGGGGGGAAAAGCCCTTCGGGGGTTCCCTACCCATTTGGCATGTGGGGCCAGGCTCTGCAGCTCCTCGCCCACGCACCAGGCTCCAGCACCGCCCTCCGTCCAGTTCCTCAAACTCACACACACACACACACACACACATACACACACACACACACACAGTCCACCCTGAGGCCCTCGCTCTCACTGCCGCCTCTGTTGAAGCACTCCTCCCTCTGCGCCTGGCTGGTTCCTTGTCATGCTTGGGCTCCAGGATGGCCCTCTGTGCGCTCCTCACATCTGTCTCTCTTGTCTCTTTGGCCACCTGCTCTATCCCCGGGAAGCTCTGTTTGGGAAGCACCTCGCCCCCAGATGGCATCTCCGGGCTTGGCACTCACTACACAATGTGCTGCCACCTCCTGCTCTAGTTCTGCCCCGGCCTGGGGTCCCTCCGCCTGCCCCCTCTCTGAGCTCAGCAGCTACCCTGCCCCCCAGCTAGCGACTTCTCTTTCCCACCATCTCAAGCCGCCTCCCCCTTTGTTTTATAAGGGTTTTTTTTCCCCCTTTTGAGTTTTTCAGACAGGTTCCCGCTATTCAGTCCAGGCTGGCCTCAAACTTGCATCAGTCCTCCTACCTCAGCCGCCCAAGTGCTGGGATTACAGGTGTGTGCCACCACGCTTCAAGCTGCCCTTTGCACCGGGCTCCTGGAGCTGCAGCCCCTGGGCACGGCTGCAGAGGTCCCTGGGCACTGTGTGTCCTATCTTTACCAGCGAGGCTCTGCACAGCCCGCCTGCTAAGCTGGGAGGCGTCCAGGGGGATAAACGTCACATTTCCCAACATCACAAGCTGGTGAATCCCTCCCCGGCCCTGGCCCCTGCCTGCAATTCAGGGAGCTGCCACCAGGTGGACCGCAGTGACCGCTTCTGGTTAAGTAGGTCAGAGCGAGGCTTCCGCCCCACTGCCCAGGGTTTAGGAGCAAGAAAGCAGGCACTTAGGACCAAATCCCGCCTGGCTGTCAGACCATTGGCACCCCAGGGAGGAATGTGGTTCCCTTGTGTCACCGTGTCTTCCCACCACCCTTCCCGGGCCCTAGAGGGCTGCTGGTGGCAAGATCTGATTACTGTTTTGAAGAGACAGCTAGGGCTGCCGGGGAAGAATGGGCTGGAGGTCCTGGGCAGACAGAACCTGCAGACGTGAAGAGGCTCTGGTGAGAAGCCTGGCGTGACAGTGGCTCAGCCACAGATTGTCACCGAGAGGCCAGAAGGGGCAGATTTGGGGCGCATTGGGAGGAGGCTCTGTCAGGAACTGCCAGTGATGTGGACATAAGTCCAAGAGCACCGCCAGCCCCAAGGCCAGGTGCCGCAGCCGCGAATCCTCCTGAGTCCCATGAGTCACCTCCCAAATCTCTTCTCTCTGTCTCTCTGTCTCAGTGACCAACTACAGGAACGGCCCACTGACCACCCATAGAGCTGTTCCTCCCCAGAGTCACCAACTGTTACCAATTTCTTTCTTTTTTTCTTTTCTTTTCTCTATTTTTTTTTTTTTTTTTTTGACAGGGTCTCACTATGCAGTTTAGGCTGGCCTTGAACTCATGGGGGGATCCTCCTGCCTCAGCCTCCTGAGTACTGGGATTACAGGCATGCAACACCACACTCAGCTCTAATAGTTTGTTTCTTCCCCCACTGCTTTATCTTTGCTGCCTGCCTGCTACCTACCTACCTATCATCTACGTACCTATCTCTCATCAGGACAGTCTGTCAAAGCCATCAGGACCCTGTCACATGCCTCTCCCAAGAACAAGGCCACGCTCCTTCCTGACCACGCCCACACTCAGGAATGACAACCTGACACGCTGCTGCATCTAACACACTGTCCACACTCTGATGGCCCAGCTTGTCCCTGGGGTGCCTCTCGGAGCCTGTCTTCTCCTTCCCAGGCTGCACTCAGGATCCCCGTGGCATGGCACCACCTCCCTAGCTCCGGAGCCTCTGTTTTTTTTTTCTACCATAGGGATGGAACCCAGGCCTCACATTTGCTAGGCAGGCACCCGCCACTGAGCCAGCCCCAGCCTGAGAGCTTCTCTGAATGGACAGCAGGTCCCAGCCCCTTTCCGTCATTCATGCAGGGCCCAGTCAGCTATCTCGCAGAAAGTCCCTCCATTTGGGGTGGCCTAATGTTTTGTCTGATTTAGGAGCAGGTGGTACACAGGAGCAGGAACTAGAAGGGTAGGCATGCTGGGTGCTGCCCCAGCACCCCATGGGGGGCATAAAGGTGGCTTGTCCCACTCTGGGCCACCTGGTTAAGGTGGGGCCTGCCAGAGCCAACATCCCAGGGCTGTCCTGTCCCTGGGTAGTCAGTGCATAATCTGAGGTGGTGCTTCCAGCTGTGAATACCCTGCTCCCCAACAATCTTCGCCCAGAGACTTGGCCTTGGCCCCTGATTCCTGCCTAAACTGGGTGTCGCTGTGGTGGCCCCAGGGTCTCTTGACTGGCTTCTACCCTGCAGCCTCACCCTGCTCCAGTTCATGCTTTGGACCTGGCCCTGAGAATCCTCCTGAGGCACAGGGTCAGTTACATCACTCCCTTACCCCAAACCTTCCGCAGCTCCTTACCACTTAGAGAAGAAAGTCTAAACGCCATCTATGCTCGAGCCCCAGTCAGGCCTCCCAGCCCCTTCCCACTGTCCCTCAGCTTCGTGTCACCCTTCGTCCTGATGCCATGCTGTGGGTCCTCTACCCTGCAGAGCCCTTCACTCACTCTGCACGCTCCTGCTTCTGTTCCTCCTCTGTTCTGATGTCCTGTCCACCCTCCTGTCTGTCTGCTCTACTAGGTGATGCACATCCAGGTGTCCAATGTCTTTTCATGGTGCTACAGGAGCACGGGTATCCAGCACTGCCCCTAGGACCAGGAAGGGGCTGTCCTGGCCTCACGCCCCCAAATCTTGTCTGTGCTAAAGAGGGAGACCAGGCAGCAAGACAGTGCAGGAGTGACTGTGGGTCCAGGGAGATAATGGCAAATGTCCCCACCTTCCGTGGGTCCGGCCTGACAGCAGCCTTCACCCTCCTCTGAGCAGTCACCTTATTTCCTGTGGGACTCTCCTCTGAGGCTTGCCAGGGCACTGACCCTGAGCACCAGGCTGGGCCCGGTGAGAACCCTGCCTGGAATTTCAGCTACATCAGAGAGGACTGTATCTTCCTCGGAGGAGGATGAGTAACCTGGCACTACAGATGGTCATCGTGCCACCATCAGGAAGGGGAAGGGTCTGGCTAAGAACAAAGCCCTGCTGGGTATGGTGGCACACACCCACAACCCCAGCACTCAGGAGACTGAGGCAGGAAGATCACCACGACTTTGAGGCCAGCCTGGGCTACATAGTGAGACCCCGTCTCAAAAAGCCAAAAAATTAAAAAAATAAGAAATAGATGCAGCCACCTCAGGAGAAAGCAGAGCAAAGACCACGTTCTAGTGCTGTCGGAACACCCGGATGCAGCCATACCGGAAGTCACATTCTTCTAGGCCTTATTCTGTTCATTCCCAGCCACTTGTTTCTCCCTATTGAAAGACCCTAGCCCACCAGCTATGAGGTGATGGTTAAAGCAGGCAGCATAGCACATCCTGGCTACTCCATAATCACATGAGAACCTTAACTATTATTAAGACTGGAGGTGCCAAAGTAAGCCCTGCCCAGGGCACAGGCCTGTGAGACAGTTGGGTGGGGGTGGACCCAGGCCATCAGCACACCCATGGCCACAGGGACCATCCTGACAGGACTCACCCTCCGTTCTCTGGCCTGTGGTGTCTCCTCTCACAGGGGACCTGGGGATTCTTCGGGCACTGTCAGCTCTCGGGCCCTCCTGGGCCCTCCGCAGGATCATCACGGTGAGCTCGTCCGGGCTGGGGACCTTGTCCCGCCTCTCAACAGTGTGCCAGTCCTGCCAGGGAGGGGAGGGAAAAGCTTATTAGTGGGAGAAGGTGGTCCAGTACCTACGCTGTCAGCATGAGGGGTGGAAGGATGCTGGGGACTTGGCATTTAAGGGGCACTTTCTGTATGCCCATGCCCATGCCCAAGCCACTGTACAGGCTTTTGGCAAGCAGTCCCTTCCACCAACCCTGGGAAGGAGGCACATCCACTGAGACCAAGAATGGGGCCAAAGTCACATGGCCAGGAGGACCCTAATCCCACCACTGTCCAGCTGTGTGGCCTCCGGTAAGTGGCTTTCCCTTAGCCCCAAACGGGCCGTAATAGTCTTCAGATCAGAAGGTAGGAGGAGCCTTCGCTGTGCCCACACCCACCAAGCTCTCTGCACAGTGCCAGCCCCATGGTGCCAGCCCAAGCTGGGCAATTTGTTTTGTTTTTGAGACAGAGCTAGACACTGTCTGGCCACACACTAGCCTTGAACTTGTTATATAGCCCAGGCTGGCCTCAATGTGCGATTCTCCTGTTTCAGCCTCCAGAGGGCTGCAGGCTAGGTGGCTTACGCTGATCCCTGTCACTTACAGTCACAGTCCTCCATGGGGAGGGGCCTCACAGGACAGGCATGGCTCTCCTGCCCATGCAGCCCCTCTGACTGTCATGCCCGAGCAGAGCCCCAGTCCTTCCCGTCCTGCCCTGGCTCTGGGACTCAGTGTGTGACCTAGGCCCCAGCCTGGCGTGCTGCGGACACCACACCCAACATCCCAGCTCTGTGACCAGAGAGTGCTTGGCAGTGGAAGCCAGCCGGTGACTCATCCAAGTTCCCTGTCACCTGAAACCCCCTCCTGCACCTTCCTTCCCAGCAGACCTGGGACGGCCATGGGCCCCCGGGCAGAGACCTCTATCCCTCAGGCTGGTGGTACGGCCCAGTTCCCCCGTGAGAGCCTCAGCCCTGCTCTGGAGGGTTAGGGGTCCCGGGACCGGGGGCAGAGGAGTGATCTGCTCTTGTCACCCTGGCCCTGTCTCTGCCCCCCTCACCACAGAAGAGGAGTTGCTGGTATCATCAGGGGTATCACTGTCAGGGCCGGAGCTGGTGTCGGAGTCGGGGCTCTTGTCACATGGAGAGGAGGCTGGGCTTGCCAAATAGACCGCTGCCTCAAGGTCCCCAGGCCTGCTCCTAGGAACAGCTGTGGGGCCCTGGTCAGAAAGCCCTGCTGACAGGGATGAGCCACTGCGGGGAGAAGCAGACAGTGAGTTTCCCCAAGGAAGTAACGGGGTCAGGGAGAAACCCCCCACCCCAGCCAGATACACACAACACGCGCACACGTACAGGCAAGCGAGTGCTCGCACGTGTGCACACGCACACACACACACACACACACACACACATGCATGCACTCCCCAGGTGCCAGGAATCAGCCTATTCCTGCAGAACTGGGAGCCACATCAAGGTCCCCAGAGCCGGGCTCTCTGGATGGATGAAAAACTACGCATAGCTCAAACAGATCAAGATTCTGGCCAAGGTCATAGAGCTAGGAGAGGGCAGAGCGGGGCTGTGAACTGGAACCACTGCGCAGACCCCAGCTCTCTGTCATCAGAGAAGGGGTGGGGACCCCAAGCTGAGTACAACTGGAGAAGACTCTTGCTAGGTGGGGGGCGGGGATCAGGGGGATGTGCCAGCAGCTGGGCTCCCACGGCTGCTGTAGGGGAAGCCCTGCTGTGGAAAAGCCTTCCAGGGTGGCCACAGCTCACCTAGCTTCCAGCTGGCAGCATCCCCAAAGGGACCCTAACAATGGCAATGGGTGATCGCCACAGAAGAGTTCTGTAATCAAAAAAATTGGGGACATACTACATATTTCTTTACCTCTTCCATCCAAATCCCATGATGCCACCTGCAAACTAAATGCCCTGGTAAGTCCTGTGGGAGGATATTCAACTTCATTCATCCCACACTGTCTGAAACATATTTGGTAGTAGTTTGATAGCAGAGCTTTTTTTTTTTTTTTTTTAAATTGAACCAAGAGCCTTTGAACTGAGCGAAGGTGGGGACTCACTAAATTACTACATTGCCTGGGCTGTTGTCAAATTTGTGAGCCTCCTGCTTCAGCCTCCCAGAGTGCTGGGATTTACAGGCATGTACCATCACTCCTGCCTAGCAGAGCTATTTAGAAATAATAATAATAATCCTGCCTACAAGGAGCACATTGTTCCCAAAGTAATGCTGATTTGATTCAGACTCCTCGCACCTTTTTTTGGCAGTGCTGGGAGTCAAATCCAGGCCTCACACGTGCTTCGCCAGCATGACTCTGAGTGCAGCCACACCCCCAGCCCTCCATGAACCATTGTTACTTTACAAACAGGGAACATGAGGCATAGAAACATGCAGTCCCCTGCCTGAGGTCCCACAGCCCACAGAGGACAGAAGTGGAGTGGGACCCAGGTTTCTGGACCCTCAGGCCAAGCTCTCCTAATGTGCCATGCGTTGGAAGCAGGGTTCAGGCCAGTGCGGGCTGTGGTGGAAGAATCCCAAAGCCTGGGGCGGTAGGGGTGACAGCAGGTAGCCCTGAATGAGGGGGCTGTGGACTCTTACAGCTGCACAAAGGGAGCCAGAGAATGCGCACAGCTGTCCACACCTAGCAGCATGGCCGCGTCCAGTGGTGGGGAGTTGGGGAGTGGGCAGGACCATCAGGAAAGTCAGCCAGGGTTGGGGACAGCAAGCTCAGAGACTCAGGAGCAAAAGGGGACAGTCCGATCTGAGTTCTCGCAGTTAGGCCCGAGGAGCATGCCACTGCCCACCTGTGCCCAGACCCCGGGCCGGCAGCCACCAGGATGATGCTGTCACCGTGAAGCGGGGCAGGTGGGGAGGGTGAGAGCTCCCTTCCCCAGGCCCTGGGGCTCTACCCACCTCTCAGGCCCCTGCCGGGGGCCCAGGCCCACCACGAGCTGGCAGGTGGAGGTTGCGGTGCCGAGCGTGTCCTCAGGCGCAGGCAGGCAGCGGGGCAGGTCGCAGTAGGTTGCCTCAGCACTTGGAGGGCTCCCCGGCTCCTTGGAGAAAGGAGACAGCTCAGGTCCACGTGGGTCCCCTCCCCCTGCACGGCCCTCCTGAGGGCGGGGTGGGATCTCCAGACATCATCTCCTGGGATCTCACCCTGCTCACTTGCTGGCCCAAAGAGAGTGGCCCCTCGGGCTGGAGGCGCTCCTGGGACCTAAGCTGGGGCTGGCAGGGGTCCTGGTGGGCGTGCACGGATGCATATGTACATGGATGGGCCTAGCTGCAAGTACTGGTGTGCATAAAGGCTTGTGTGCCTAGGTGTGTGTGCACACAGGTGTGAAAGTGTGTGTGCAAACACGCATGCGCATGGAAGCAGGCCCCTCAGGTACAACTGTGCATGTGCTTATGTAAATACCACAAGCTCATTTAGGAGCGTACAAGGATACGTGTGCCTCAGAATGTGAGGCACCTAGAAGCGCCCCCGAAAGCATCAGTGGTAGCCAGCAGTCCAAGGAAAGAAGGCGGATTACACTGGCCCGGAGAACAGAAAGCATCTGAGGGAGGAACAGCGGGTCTGATGGAGGAGGAGGTGGGACAGCATGACCCTGGGGGAGAGGTCAGCCCCACTGCAGCCCCAGGGGTGAGGACGGAGCTTCAGCACTGCGGGAGCTTCAACACTGCGGCTCCTCTCTCTTCCTGCCTGTACAGGTCACACCTGTGAGGCTGGTGCCCCCTGTCACCCCGGGGGGGAACAGCTGTTCACCTCCAGGGAGGCCCCCCTCCTCCCACCTGCTGCAGGGCCCTCCCCTGGTGGTGGGAGACCAGGCCCTGGCACCCTGTGCCCCGCCTCCTCTCGGATTACCTGGGCAGCGGGCTCCGAAGGCGGTGGTGGTGGCTGGCGGCTGTCAGCACCCTCGTCCCCGGGGGGCTCTGGCTCAGGCCCCCGCACTGCCGCCCTCTCAGGCCCGACTCAGGGCCGTGCTGGTGGCGCCGGCCGAGGCAGTGGAAACCCTAGAGGGGCCAGCTTCAGGCGCAGGGGCCCCTCATTACTGTTTCATAAGCCAGGGCCCAGCCAAGAACAATGCGGGACATGAAACCCGGGAATCTGATCCCAGCCGCTCACCTGAGAGCCAGGCAGGGTGGGAGCCTGGCCACTGGCTCCCTGGGGACCCTGGAGCCCAGAGTCCAGGGCCGGGGCTGCAACCTGGCCAGTGCCCCGTGGGCAGCACTTCCCCAAATCCGCGCAGGCCGCCACCGGCAGAGCCTGGGCTGGGCCGAGGACGGGGTCTAGGTGTCCGCTGCAGCATCCAGGCTGGGAGGCCTGCCTGGATTTGGTTTCACCCCTGCCCTGCAGCCCGATTCCGATCAGGGCCCGGCAGCAGGAGGTGTCAGATCCTCAGCCGGGCCTGGTGTTGTGGCCGTCCAGGGGCAGGGCAGCATGAGAGAAAGGAGCAGCTCGCCAGGCAGCGTCCAGAGGTCCCGGCCCGAAGGACCCCGAGCCTTACAAGCACTTCAGCCCTGATTTCACCCCGCCCCGCCACTCCCAACCCAGCCCAGCCCAGCCCAGCCTCAGCCCCCAGCTCTGATTTCCTGTCTGTCGGTCAACTTGGGCCCTGGCCCTGTGCAGACCTGGGTCCCATCCCGTCCCGGCTCCTCCACGTCCGGGCTGAGTGACCTGGCCCAGTGACCTCCCCTCCCGGAGCCCTGTTGTCTTGGAAATGAAGGCGGAAGTGTGACCAAGACCTTGGCCAAGTGACTTGTCCTGTTTGTGTCTCAGTTATGTCATGTGCAGAACTGGCACGACAGGCCCTCCTCCCAGGGTGTTAAGAGAATAAGTGATGAGGGGCTGGGGATTTAGCTCGGCGGCAAAAGCGCCTGCCTGGCAAGCGCAAGGTCGTGAGTTCGGTTCCCGGTACCGGAAAAAAACCAAAAAAAAAAGAGAATAAGTGATGAAAGAACATTAAATCAAGTTGTATGAAAAAATAAATAAATAAGTCGAGTTGTATGGGTTACATTGGCGGAATAACAGTAAATACATTTAAGAATAAATTAATTGAGCCAGGAATGGTGCCACACACCTACTGGGAGACTAAGGTAAAAGAAAGGACTGCTGCGAGTTTGAGGCCTGCATGGCCTACACAGCAAGATTCTCTCTCGAAAAAGGAAAGAAGGAAAAAAGATAGAATAAATAAATGGAGCTGGATATGGTGGCACATGACTGTCATCCTAGCATTCTGGGGGGGTGAGGTAGGAAGATCCAAAGTTTGAGTCTTTCTTGGGCAACTTATCAAGACATTGTTTCATTTTTCTTTCTTTCTTCCTTTCTTTCTTTCTTTCTTTCTTTCTTTCTTTTTTGTCTTCTTGAGACAGAGTCTCGCTATGCAGTTCAGGCTGGCCTTGCGCTCACTTTGTAGCCCAGGCTGCTCTCAAACTCACAACGATCCTCCTGCCTCAGCCTCCCAAAGACATGGTTTCAAAATGAAAAATAAAATAAAAATTTAAAAAATGGCTAGGGATGTATTGCAGCGTGAAAGCACTAGGTTTAATCTCCAGTGCGACAACAAATCAATCCATAGAAAAGGGATGTGTGATGCGGCCTAGCGCCCCCTGCCTCCCTCTGAGCCTGCTGGCGACCTGGTCAAGTGTCAGGGGTCAGGTCCCGTGACCTACAGGGCTGACCCCTCCCCACCTCCCAGCCTGTGGGAGATCTGGCCGTGAGCAGAACAGGGACAGGCGCAGGGCCCAGGAGAGCTGTGACTCCCTGGGCATTTTAATGACCAGCGGGTCAAGAGCCAGTCACGCTTGGAGGGGAGATGGGACACCCTGGGCCTGGCCGTTTCTGCGCATTCTAGGGTAGCGGAAGACACCAGACTGGATCTAATCCTACTTCTTTGCACCCTGGTATGAGGAGGGTCCCAGTGGGACCTGCACAGCTTGGTCAAGGGTGGGCGATGCCCATTCCCCTCTGGGGATTGAACGCAGGGCTCCAAGCTCCATCCCCAGATCTTCGCTTTTTTTTTTTTTTTTGGTTTTTTTCCAGTACCAGGAACTGAACTCACGACCTTGCGCTTGCCAGGCAGGCGCTTTGCCGCTGAGCTAAATCCCCAGCCCCGATCTTCGCTTTTTTTAAATATTGAGACAGGGTCTCAGCAAGTTATCCAGACTGGCCTTGAACTCACAATGGTCCTACCTCAGCTTCCTGAGTAACTAGGAGTATAGGCTTGCACCACTACACCTAGCAGAGGGATATTTTTGTTGGTTTGTTTTATTTTGTTTTGTTTTTTGAGACAAGGTCTTGCTATGCAGTTCAGGCTGGCACTGAACTTGCTGTGTAGCCCAGGCAGGCCTCAAATTTGTGTGATCCTCCTGCTTCAGCCTCCCAAGTGCTGGGATTATAGGCCACCACATCCCACTTGCCAGGGGATATTTTTAAACACATAGTTTTTTTTGATTCATGTTTGAAATCCCTTAACCGTTAAAGCAGCTAGGTAAGATGGCACAGGTGTGTAATCCCAGCACTCTGGGAGGCTCATGCAAGAGAATCACAAATTTGAGCCCAGCCTAGGCAATGTAAGTGACTTACTGAGACTGTGTCTCAAAATAAAAATTTAAAAAGTGGGTGGGGCATGTCACTCAGTGGGAAAGCCCTGGGTTCAATCCCCACGTACCACAAAAACAAACAAACAAACAGAGGGGCCGGGGATTTAGCTCAGTGGCACAGCGCCTGCCTGGCAAGTGCAAGGTCGTGAGTTCGATTCCGGGACCAGAACAAAACAAAACAAAACAAATAGAGAGGTTCCAGATACCCTGGAGAAAGACCTGGCTAACCTTGGTTCTGTGTAAGCCGGATGTAGGAACCCACAGCTATAATCCCAGAACTCGGGAGGCTGAGTCAGGAGGATCACTGGGAGTTCAATCCCAGCCTGTGCTACACAGAGAGATGCTGATTCAAGGAAAACAAAACAAAACAACAAAACCTTTGGTTCTCAGGAGACGTGTTATGCCAAAGGGAAGGGAGCGAGGGGGTACCCTTATCTCTGCAGCACCATCCAAGGTCAGGGCACCCAATCCCTGGGGCAGAGGCAGGAGGAATCCACCATTCCTTCCATACCTAACCTTGGTGCACCAGTAATGGGGCCCGAGTTGGTGGCCGGGATGGGCAGGGAGGGGGACAGAAAGTTCGGTAGAAGTGACTGCCATCTTCTGGGGCCAGGCCTAGTTTTTTTTTTTTTTTTTTTTTTTCCTAAATCTTTTTTGGTTTTCGACTTTTCCCGGGCCAAATGACGGAACCCAGGACCCGGCACGTGCTAGGCAAGGGCTCTGCCACTGAGCCACACCCCCGCCCAGGGGCAGAAATGCCATCCGGTACACAGGGAACTGTGTCGTGCCCGGAGTCGGCCCTGGTCCTGCCCCAGTCACCCTCACGAGCCGGCGGTGCTCAGGGGACTCTCACTACCCGGGCACAGCACTGGAACAATGCGAAGCCACGGATCTGACCCTGAAACTGGCTCTCCCTGTGCCCGGGGACGAGGCCCATGCCCTGGTGTTCGCTCCTCTCCCTGTTCCGGATGGAGCTGTGTCCGCCTCCCGCGACCGGTGGTTATCAGGTGACTCCCTGGGGTGCAGCTCAGTGGTAGTATGCGTGCCAGGCCCAGTTCTATCCGGGGCAAAAACACCCCGATTCCCAAGCCTCCCCTCTTCTCACCATGAGCAAGGCTTTCACCAGCAACAGATGCTGATGATGTGGGAGCCTCGGCTCCTGTCCCCTCCGACCCTGATCGGAAGCCCTGGGCCATCGATAGCCTCCTGGCCGCTGCACTCACACTCGCCAGGCCCCAAGCACAGTGACTGAAAACTGCAGACTGATCGTACAGTCACTCCCTTGTTTAAAATCCTTAGTGGCTCTCCATGACTCTCATGATAAAATCCAAAGTCCTCAGCATGTCCCTAGAGGCCCCCAGACCCTAGCACTTACCCTCATACCACTTGCTATCTATTCTCTTATGACACTGATCACACCCATGATGAAATAACCATCTGCACGATGAGTTTCTTACTCCCCGTTTCCCTTGCTAGCCCACCAGCCTCGCCAAGCCAGGCATGCGTGTCTATTTCTGCAGCATCCCGCACAGCACCTGCATGTTTCCAGTCCCTACTCAATGTATAGAAAAACATGTGATAGAGCCAGGCACGGTGGCACATGTCTGTAATCCCAGCACTCAGGAGGCAGAGGCAGGAGGATTTCTGTGTGTTTAAGGCCAGCCTGTGGCACACAGTGAGACCCTGTCTCAAAAAAAAAGTACAACGACTGAAGCTCTCAGGTGGGGACCGAGGGCCCTAGGCCATACCTCAGGCCCATCTGGATCCAGGTTCCTCCTGCCCCATGCTGGGAGAAGGGCCTGTGCTTGGGAGAGGGACACAGGCCTCTCCAGTGTTTGTTCCCTGAGCTTGGGGGGAGGGAAGGGAGCTGTCACTGGAAGTCTCTGAATCTCATGTAGAAGGGACTCTCCAAGGTGTCCGTTCTGGCTAGGAAGAGGGAAGAGAGGAAAGAGCCGCTTGGGGCTTGGGCTCAGCACTGCCAGCTGTCAGGTGCAAGAGGCTGCTGCCCCATCGCCCGGGAGGAGAGTGACACAGAGGCTTCACATGCCCCAAGGAGGCACGGCAGGGAAATGGCAAAGCCACGGTTCCAACTCAACAGCCATGTCTCAGAGCCTGAACCTCTGCAGGAAGCTGGGTGCCAGGCACAAGAAGAGGAAGCCCCAGCCCCCTGGGCATGGCAGAGCCACAGGGGTCAGGGCTGGAAGGACCGATGCAGTCACAGGTCCCACACTTCCCAAGGCAGGGGTGCCAGCGCGCTGGGTGGCTTGGCATCCGACCACATCGATCGCACTGTGAACAGCGACTCCTCTTTCACTCCGCCAGCTACTTCAAGAAGAAAGTGACCGGTGGGTACTGGTGTCTTTAACACCTCCCTAGTCCCTGCTAATCTCCCTTTGAGACAAAAGACAGCTGGACTCAGGCTCCACACCTTCAGCTGACAACTGAATGACATTTCTGTCTTGTCTTTCTTTTTTCTAGATTCCTTCCATTTCTAAGCTCTGAACATGATCATTTCTACATTCCGAGCATGGTCTTGTGGTGGGGACATAAAGGTTTGTCTCAGATAAGTGAGAAAAGGATGTTGATTTTGGGCCTCTGAGTGTGGCTCAGTGGCAGAATGTGTGCTTAGCATTCACAAGGCCCCAGGTTCAATCCTCAGCACCCCATGAAAGGACATTGATTTAAATAATAAAGTAATAGATGAGATGAGGCTACAGTAAACATCAAGAAAGTGGAGAACAAGGAGAGAAGCAATTGATAATTGGGAAATAGTAACATGGTCCATTCACCCCATTTTACATGTAGGAAAACTGAGGCATTGGCCGGGAGGAAGCATCTGCTTTCAGCTGCAAGTTCACAGCCTACTCCCCATCCCATATGGCCCTGCAAAGCAGGCCTACCTGGTGCCTTGCTGGGTGGGCCTCCTCCTTTTGAGAGCGGCTCTGGGAAAGCATGTTGGCCTTAAAGCGTTCACATGGTGCCTTCCCAGCCTCCTCCTCCACGTCTGTGAGCCAGGCCAGGGCAGCTCCTGAGACCTGACAGCTGACTCTGTAGGGGGACATGGGGAGAATCAAAGAAGAGGCAAGGAGCAGATGACTGGCTGGCCAGCCACATGGAACTCAGCCCCAGTTTCCCCAGGCCAGACAAGGACCAAGGATATAAGATTATCCATTCACTCATCCATTCCTTTATTCACTCAACAAACACTAATGCCTACTAAGCAGCCTACAAATTGCCAAGCATTTGATGTGTGATTTCTAGTACTTACTACAGTGTTGTTGAAAGTGTGTTCTAATGACCCTTCTTTACACTCTTCTGGGCTGCTCATAAAAGTGCAGATTTCCAAGCGGGTATGGTATTGCATGCCTATCGTCCCAAGCTACTAAAAGGGCTGAGTCAGGAGGATCACTTGGGCCTAGGAGTTCAGGATCAGCCTAGGGAACAAACAAGACCACCCGGTCTCTAAAAACAAACAAATAAAAAACCAAAAAAACAAACAAAGCAGATTCTGTTCCTTCTCTTGATGCACCCAGTCAGAACCTGCAGGGCACGTGGCCTGGGAGTGTGCTATTTAAAAAAGTCCTTAGCCTCCGTGATTCCAGTACATGCCAAAGTTTGGCTGCCTCTGCCTGACAGCAACGTGACATTGTCATTCAAATTAATGCCAGTTTCAGATCGAGCAGCTAAGGGAGGTTCCCTAACACTCAAGTCTACAGGCTGAGCTGGATTCAAACCCAGGTCTTTGCTAGGTGTGGTGGCACACACCTGTAATCCCAGCAGGCTGAGGCAGGAAGATGGAAAGTTTGAGGCCAGCCTGGGCTGCACATCAAGACCCTATCTCAAGAAAAACCAACCAGTGCCAGCTGTGATGGCACATACCTGTAATCCCATCTCTCAGGAGGCTGAGGCAGGAGGGTCACTGTGAGTTTGATGCCAGCCCAGGCTACATAGTTAGTCCAAGGACTGCCTAGACTACATGGTAAGACCTTGTCTTAGAAGGGGAAAAAAAAAACCCAACACAAAATTAAATCCAGATCTGTGTGGCTCCTACTTTCAGAGATGGAGAGGAGGGATAACGGGTCACAGGGCCAATTCACACAGGTCCGCTGGGAGACATGGAGTAAGTCAAGGCTGGCCGGGTGTTCTCAGAGTTGAGGACAAAGTCTTTTTGTTTGTTTGTTTTTTTTTTTTTTTTGGTTTTTGGTTTTTCTCCGGTACTGGGAACCGAACTCACGACCTTGCGCTTGCCAGGCAGGCGCTTTTGCCGCTGAGCTAAATCCCCAGCCCCTGAGGACAAAGTCTTAGAAGTGTTTGTGACAGAACTGAGCCACAAGAAACCTTGCTGGATCAACCTGAGCCAGGGCTACACACACACACACACACACACACACACACACACACAGTCCGAGTAGGAGAGGGGCACGGCAGGCACCCACCCAATATTCCCAATGCACAAGCGCCTGCCGCTGGCCACCATGCCTATCCTGCCTCGAGAATTTCTTCCAAAGCTCCCAAAGCTCAGGCTTTGGGGCCCATCTCAGCCCAGCGCTGAGGACTTTGGTATCCTCCCCAGGAGCAGCCAGGGGAAAGACCCAGCTCCTTCACCTCTTCCACCTGGAGAGGGGCGGCCCGAGGGAACAGGACACGAGGGGGTGGTGGCACCGGGGTCTCCGATCCCTCCTGGGAAGTCATCTCCCCGCCTCGTTCCCTGTCCACCAACCTGGGCGGTGCCTGCTCCGGCCGGCCACATAAAAGAGCATCGTCTTGGACACAGAACTGCCGCCTATTTCCTGGGGACCAGTGTGGCGGGGCTCTACTACACGTGTCCCTCGCTGCTCCTGTCTCTTTCCCCCACCCCAACCGGTTGGCAGAATCTTTCCCTACTGAAATGCATGTTAGCTGTGGGAATAATAACGAAAAACCTTCAGCGGACGCCCATGCCCCGCCCGGAGGATGGACCGCTGCACCTCTCCATCCAGCCCTTGCAGCCGGTTCCTCCGGGTATCTTACCCCTTCCTCACCTTCCCTCCCCGCCCTCTCTCTCCGCGGCCGGGGACTAACCTGGGATCGGGTTTCCACGCGCTAGGGCTGCGGCAGTGGGAAGGCCAGGGTCACGGCCTCTTTATTTTAACAATGAATCAAAAGGTTGCCCGGGAGGTGGGCGGGAGACCACGCCCCTGCGGCTCTCACATAGGCTCTCTGGAAGAACCTCATTTACATGAATGCTGTGGGATTGGGCCAGCGGAGGATAAGGGGCGGGGCGGAGGCGGGCGGTGCCCCGAAGCCTCAGAGCGCGGGACTCGCCGCACGTTTAGCCTGGGTCGCCCCTCTTCCTGACTCAGCCCGGGTCCTACGGGGTCTGCGAGCGCTGGCAGGGCGACTCTGACCTCTTTCCACTCTTTCCCGCCGCATCAATCCGCTGGGCTGGCGTTAGCCTGGACCTTGGACTAGAAACGTAACCTTCGTGCCTGTTTTCCAGATGAAAATACCAGCGAGGATGAAGAGAAATAGTTTCAAGTAAAAAGCAAGACCTGGGCTTCGCAGGTGTGATCTCAGCACTCTGGGAGGCTGAGGCAGGAGGATTGAAGGTTTGAGCCCACCTTGGGCAATTTAGCAATTTAGTAAGATCTTGTCTCAAAATTTAAAAAAAGGATTGGGGATGCAGGTTAGTGTGAAGGCCCAGTGCTCAATCTCTAGACCTACAAAGAAAAAAGAAAGAAAGAAAAGTAAGAAGAGCTCTGGCGCCTGCCAAACGCTGCATGGGTGCACAGTGCTAGAACCGCAGTACTGTGTTAGTGTTCCAGTCAGGGCCTCCGGGCGCACCGGCCCTCTCTGTCAGGGGCCTTCAACACTTGCACGTTTCCATTTCCACTGCCTTGCAATCACTCACAAAATGCAGTCTCCCACACACCCCTGACCTCTCTAAGGCCCGTTTATCTGTCACTGTCCGTATGGCAGCTGTGTTCCAAGTCTTCACACCCCGGAGGACACAGCAGTAACCTGAAGCACCACGTCCCAAGGTCCCCATTTCACAGCAACAGAAGATAGAGAAGTTCACCTAACTGCCAGTGTCACACAGCTTGGTAAGCGGCAGAGCCAAGGCTCAAGGCCTTCACCTACTAATTTACAGACACTCCCCTGTCCCTGGTGCCTGCATGCGCATGGCGTTGAGGGGAGAAAATGTGAATAAAACGTGGCTCCTTCCAGGAGGAGGAGCCACAGGCTAATGGAAGAGACAAACCGGTGAACAGCTCAGCCTAGCCCGGGTGGACCTGGCTAAAACACAGCTTCTGAACAAGGGCAGTGAGCTTCCTGTTTCGTTTCTTCCCGTGAGACAGAGGCCAGCGACACCATGTGCAACATCTGGCTGGATGAGAGATTCACCTGAGCCTGGGCCACCTGGGTATTTGGGTGACGAGGAAGCCCACCGTGTGGCCCCAGCGCTCTGCCCCACCGGTCAGTAAACACTAAACCAATCCAGGGTGGCCCTCTGACAGTCCCAGCCACCAAGTATCCACGGGGCACCTACCCGGCAGCAGTGTGCGCCGAGGAGCCCTCACCTGTGATTGTGTGGCGCTTACCTCTGTGGAGAAAAACCCACCAGACAGGGTCAGTAAGCAAACACGCAGCGTGTCGGCTCCAGGCCGGCACGGGGGAGAAACTAGGGGGCTGGCGGAGGAGTGGAGGGGCCAGGCGGGAGCTCTCTGCTTGGCCCTGGGGATGCGCCCCTTGTGGCACAGGAGGACAGCGGGTGGTGGGCAGTAGCCGGAAGTGGGGGAGGAGCAGGATGGGGGGCACTCAGGGGGCAGTGGGAAGAAGTCCCCTCTCGTTGGGGTGGGCAGTGAAGGTACTGAGGCCAGAAGGGTTCTCAGTAACCCAGGTGGCAGCAGCCCGATTTGCCCCGACCTTAGACACCCTCCCACCTCGTGTTTGTGTGTTGGTGCCCAGGCCAGCCAGCACAGCAGCTCCTTATCCCGTTGTTTTATTGGGGGGGGGCTTGAACCCAGGGCCTTTACACTGAGCTCCATCCCCAGCACCTTCTTTTTCATTTTGAGATAGGATCTCCCCATATTGCTAAGTTACCCAGGCTGGTCTTGAACTTGAGATCCTTCTGCCTCAGCCTCCATCTTGCAAAAGGGAAACTGAGGCTCAGGTGAATTGTCACTTGATGAGAGAGCCTGGTCTAAGAACCCCCTCCAGAGCTTTGTGGGATGGCTTGGCGGGTCCCAGTGGCGGCCACCACAGAGCTGCACGCCCACTCCCCCTTTCCCTTCTGTGGATTCTGTCCGTGTTCATCTCCTCAGGGCCTTTGCTCCCGCCCTGTGCACCTCAGCTCCCCATGCCGTCCTCAGCGATCTGGGACAGTGGTGATCCCTGGGAGTCCTGGCCCAGCTGTACCCCGCCATGTCTCCCAGTCACACCAGCCTGCCTGGCCCACAAGCCTGGGGGAGAAGCCAAGAGCCGGGGCAGGCAAGGGACAGGCTCAGGGCCTGCAGGCCCACTGAGCAGGGCAGGACGGCGGGCGTCTATCGGGGCTGACTGGTGGGCTGACTGCAGGCCCATGGCTCCCTGAGAAGCAATGATCCAGCACAGCCAGGCTGACTTTTCCTAGAGAAGCTAGAAAACTTTTTTGTCATTTTTGTTGGGTCTTTGTTGTTGTTGTTTTTAGGTTATTTTTTGTCTTTTGGACACAAGGTCTCACTATACAGTTCAAGCTGGACTTCAGTTCTCTATGTAGCCCAGGCTGGTCTCAAACTCAGTGATCCTTCTGCTTCAGCCTCCCAAGGGCTGGGATTACGGGTGTGCACCACTATGCCTGGGCTAAATTTTATTTTGAAACCAGGTGTCTGCCTCAGCCTCCTGAATATCTGGGGGAACCACGTGCCACTGTGGGCCCCAGCCTCTTGCTTCTGACTGCTCTTTACCAACCATGACTGGGACAAAGTGAGAAGTGAACAGCAACGTTCCCTGGATGAGGAGACAGTTCCAATGGAGCGCAAGAAGGATGGGTGAGGTAAGAGGAGAGAAGGCAGGTTCTCGGACACTTGTAGACAGGGCACGGGGCCAAGAAAATCCTAGATTATTTCGACGGTTGTCTGGAAGCACATGGCAGGAAGGACAGGTTCTGTGCTGAGCCAGCACTGGCTGAGAAGCTTGGGTGACACAGGTGACAGCAGCACAACATGGACATGACTAAGGTCCAACTTCTCAGGTAGCTCCGTCTGGCTGTGGACACAGCCCCTCCAGGCACAGCATGCTGTTCCAAAAAGGAAACCACAGTCCGGTGGGAGCCCAGAGGGAGAAATGCTTCGTCCTGGCCAGGTGCTAGGTGCGATCCAGGAAGGCTTCTTGGAGGAGCCACTTTAAGGCAGAGGCATGAGGAAGGCTGAGACACACCTGATACCACCTGAAGGGCTCTGAGGTGCGCAGAGGGGGTGCTTTAATCAACATTCGCACAAAACAGGTGAATTTGGGCATGGTAGTGAATGCCTGTAACCCCAGCACTCTGGGAGGCTGAGGCAGGAGGATCACAATTTTAAGCCCAGCCTGTGCAACTTGGCTATTTAGAGAGAACTTGTTTCAAAATTAAAAATAAAGGCCTGGGGTGGTGGCACACGTCTATAATCCTAGCACTCGGGAGGCTGAGGCAAGAGGATTGCTGCTGTGTTTGAGGCCAGCCTGAACAACATAGCAAAACCCTGTCTCCAGATGACAACAAAAAAATAAAGTATTAAATAAACAAAAAGGCTATGTAGCTTGATTTGAAGGCCCTGATTCCAATCCTCATACTGAGGCAGGGGAAAGGCAGTGAGCTCTGCACACGGATGATGAACCAGGAGCCCTCATCAGGGCAGCCCGCCCCAAAGGAAGGTCAGCAGCTCACAGCCAGGGAACTGAGCCCTGAGAGGTCCCTGGGCTGCTGGGGATGAAGGTCAAGACCCCCAAAGGAACCGTGAGTCCTCCAGTTCCTGGCCTGGCTGCCAACAGGAAGTAAGGAGAGAACGCTCTTTGCTTAGCCTGGCTTCCGACTTCCAGGAGCCACAGCTGCCAGCCGTCCCAGCACTGCCCAACCTGTCAGGACCCAGGTCCCCAGTGCTTTTAGCTCCTCACCGATGGATCCCCTTATGCATTTGGCTGTGGGGGAACAGTTGCTGCTTGAACCCTGACACCCCTTCTCCCCTTAGTTAGCAATACAACCCCCAGTTTTCATCTGGGCATCTCACTTCCCAACTCCACAGCCTGGAGCTGCCAGCTTCTCTTGCAGCTAGGAATCCTCTCCTTGCCCTCTGCCTTTGGCTTCTGCTTGGTCCACAGAATATGACAAGCATTGAGGGGGCTGGGGATTTAGCTCAGCGGCAAAGCGCCTGCCTGGCAAGTGCAAGGTCGTGAGTTCGGTTCCCGGTACCGGAGAAAAACCAAAACCAAAAAAAAAAAAAAACAAGCATTGAGGGTTTTAACAAGGGGAGTCATGCTGGGCATGGTGGTACACACCTGTAATCCCAGTAATCAGGAGACTAAGACTAAGGTAAGAGGATAGCCAGGAGTTCAAGCCCAGCCTGAACTATATAGCAAGACCCTGTATACAATACAATACAAATAAAATACCGAGGGTCATGTCCTTCTTCATCCCTTTCTCCTGACTGAAATGCAGATCTGATAGCTCAAGCAGCCATCTTGGCCCATGAGGCAGAAACCATGTAACAAATATGGCACAAAGAAGGAGCTAAAGGCCTGCTCCCAGCTCTCCAGTACACGGTACTCAGCTCTACTTCATTCTTCCTAGTGAGGCTCCTAAAGGGCCAACCTCACCCCAGACAAGGAAATGCTCCGGTGCAGGTAGAGAGGCGTGGGAGAAGAGTCAAGGTCTCCAGAAGGTTCAGACGCCACCACCTGAGCCCAGGACGGACCACATTGGTGTGATTCAATTTCCCTGGGAGCTAGAAGAACCAATGGCACATAGGAGGAGTGGATGAGATTTATTAACACGACAGCCCCAACGTCCGTTAAGTGACACTGGAGAGTCAGGGAGGGGTGTGGCCAGAGGTCCCAGCGCTGTAGGAGGTGGCTGCCACACGGGGTCTCACCTCAGCCTCTCGTGTCATCTTGCTGACACTGAGGAGAGGACAGGGAGGTGGCAGGGGCAGAAGGGCCAGAGCTGCGAGGCCAGGCCCAGAGGTTGTGTGTTCTGTGCCTGCCGTGCCCAGCTGCCGGCTCTCCAGGGAGCAGGTGAACTCTGGGTCCCTACACGACCTCCCTGTCCCCTCAGGGACACTGCTGGAGGTGGAGGGACCCTCAGCCCTGACATTTCTACCACCCAGAGCCTCCCTGTGGTACGTGGTGTCAAGGGAAGGACAAACAAACCACATGCACGCATATGCGATGCATCCCTGGCGGGGTTCACTAGGGGAGACACCAAGCTGATTCTGCTGGCTTCTCTGGGGCCCTCCCCTTCAGGGGTTCGCACCCAGGTGGCCCTGGGCACAGATGGCAACAGTCTAGGACCAAGAGGTCCTGGGTTCCCGAGCCTAGGCCATGGGGTCACCACCTCATGTGGCTGGGTTACAGCACAGCCACGCTGCGGCAGCCCTGGGCCTCCGGGCTCACTCCCCGCTGTGGTGCGCCCGGCCTGTCAGTCGGCGGCGCTGGGTCTTGCTGGTGCGGGTGGTGCTCGGGGGCTTCTTGGTGGAGTCGTGGGCCCGCCGAGGACACTTCCTCTTCACCTTTTTGCGGCTGTGCGCGTGCAGGGATGCCGTGAGGTTGGAGATCCTGCAGGAGGGTAGAGGCTGATGAGGCCAGGCCTCAGTTTACCCTGGGGAACAAGGTTGGGGGGAGGCTGCGCAGGGGCTGAGTGGTCACCTGGGTAACGGAGGGGAAGTCAGGATAGCCCCCACACGCCTCGGGCACCAAATTCACCCCAAACTCTGCCTGCTGACCCCAGAAAGCCTGCCAGCCCCAGAGCTGCCTGCCGCCTCCCCCCATGGGCCAGCAGAAAGTGGCTCCACAGGCCTGGTGAGCAAGAGCAGCCCCGGAGGAAGGACTCCCGGAGATGGCAGGCGCAGCTCACCGCTGAGACAGCAGGGGCTCTTTGGATTTCCTGGGTAAGGCCTTGGTGGACTTCTCCACGGACGCCTCCTCCTCCTTGGACTGGTCCTCGGCGCCTTGCTAGGGAAGCACAGGACAAGAACACTGACACAGCGCAGATGGGGGCCACGGCCGCAGGAAGCCGTGGGCAAAAGAACCCTGTGTCCGCCCCAGACCAGCGTCACAGAGGGGACAGCGCTGCTCCAGATCTTTCCCTGCCTCTCGCTAGCTTGCAGCAGGCAGAAAGCCAAAGCGCGACATGACATGGTTTTGCAGGATGGCATGACATAGATTATTAAGTGCAGGATAGGATGGCAAAGGACTCAGAAAGCACTGGCTTCACAACGTAAGGACCCTGCAACCAGGGGAGGAAACTCCCTTTATGCCACAACTCCACATGCAGTGCTCCCTATCCGGGAGTCAGACTCAACCACCCCAGGCAGAAAACACGCAGGAAAATGCCATCCTGTCTGCACCACCCGTGCAGCCTCCGTGTCACTACTCCCTAACCACACAGTGTAACAATCGTTTATGGTGGCGCTGCATACCTGTACTCCCAGCAATCAGGAGGCTGAGGCAGGAGCACTGCCATGAGTTTGAGGCCAGCCTGGGCTACATAGTGAGTTTAAAGCCAGCCTGAACTACATAGCAAGACCCTGTCTCAAAAAACAAAGAAAGAAAATCACTTACAGGCCATTTATATTGTCTTAGGTGTTGTAAGTAAGCCAGACCTGATTTCAAGTATGTGGGAAGCCGCAGACAGGTTCTATGCAAATCCCACACTATTTGACATGGGGGATTCCAGCAGCCACAGATTTCCATTTGGGAGGGGTCCTGGAACTAATCCTGCACAGGTATTGAGCACAGATATACACATTTATAGCACACACACCAAGACAGACCCAGCTGTAATGGAAAGAGATAGGTAATGAAGCTGGAAGCTGGGGTACATGCCTGTAATCCCAGCAGTGGGGAGGCTGAAACAGGTGGACTGCAAGTTCCAGCCCAGCCGGGGCAACTTATCAACTTGGTGAGACTCTGTCTCAACATGAAAATCTCAAAGGGGCTGGGAATGGAGCTCGCGGGTACAGCACTCCGGGTCTGACTCTCTCCACAGCCCCCACACACGTGCACACAAGTGTTTCATGAAACCATATTGACCACAATGCTTTCAATTCTATTTTTTTCTACTTTTAATGCAAACTGCAGGCTATCGCTGACTTACACCCCACAGGTTGTAAATTCACTGTCAGTGCAGAATGCCAAGTTATTGCTGCGTGGCACACAACAGAGCAACCGCAATCAACAGCGATCTTCTGTTAGCACTCACTACATGCTGGGCCTGGTGCCACGGGAGTCACATGCTTCGCGACTTTATCCCCAAAGCAATGCCACGAGGCCAGCTCACTGCGGGACACAGGCAGGCAGCAGGGCAAGGAAGCTACCCCTGCTTGGCAGTGTTCCAGGCCCCGCAGCGCCAGGGTCAGGAACTGAAGGGGCCGGAAGCGAAAGGGCCCCTTGCACTGCGATACTCACGACAGGGCCAGCATGGAGCAGCCCGAGAAGCCTGTGTCCCCCTTTTCCCCAGGGACAGGACGGGGACCTACCTCAGGCTGTGGCAATCCAAGCAGCCGGGCCCCTGAGAGGTCCAGGTCGCTGATGGTGGTCACAGTGACCGTGTGGTTGGGGTGGTCGTACTGTACTGACTCGGTCTTGGCCGTCACCAGCCGGTCCAGCTCATCTGCTTCCTCTGCAGAGTGGGCGGAGAGACCAGGTCTCAGCCCCCAAACAAGCGACCAAACCCCAGCCTCCTCCCAGCCATGGAGGGCCAACTGAGTAATGCGAAGAACTGATGCCTCCCTGACTTCGCCCCTTAGTCCTTTCAGTCCTCAGAAAAGGAGCTCTCTAGCTGGGTGTAGTGGCGCCCAGCAGTAATCCCAGCTACCTACTTGGAAGGCTGAGGCAGGAGCATCTCCAGCTTGAATCCAGCCTGGGCAATTTGGCAACTTAGTAAAACTCTGTTTCAAAATTTTAAAAAAGTAGTCAGGTGTGGTGGCACACACCTGTAATCCCAGCACTTGGGAGGCTGAGGCAGGATTGTTGTGAGTTCAAAACCAACCTGGGCTACAAAGTGAGCTCAAGGCTAGCCTTAAGTGCAAAGCAAGACCCTGTCTCAAAAAGACAAAAATAAATAAAAATTTAAAAATAGTAATAAAAAGGGCTGGGGATGTAGCTCAATGTGAAGGCCCTGGTTCAATTCCCACAATAGAAAAAAAAAAAAAAATCACCTACAGCTGAGTGTGCTGGTGCACACCTATAATCTCTACACTGGGAGGACAGGACAGGAGGACTGAAAATCTGAAGTCAGTCTGGGCAATTTAGCAAGGCTCTGTCTCAAAATAAAAAATAAATAGAAGGGTGAGGGATGTAGGCCAGTGTGAAGGTCCTGGATTCAATCCCCAATACTGAAAGAAAAAAAAAAAAAAAAAAGAAAGAAAAGAAAAAGAAATAGAAGGCCGGGCGTGGTGGCATAAGCCTGTAATCCCAGCACTCGGGAGGCTGAGGCAGGACTGTTGCGAGTTCAGGACCAGCCTGGACTACAAAGCGAGCTCAAGGCCAGCCTGAACTGCACAGTGAGACCTTGTCTCAAAAGAGACAAAAAAAAAAAAAAAAGGGAAAAGAAACAGAACAGTGAGTCTCGGTCTCCTTTTGCCCTGCGACCCAGCTGTTCTCAGAGGCACTCTTGCTAACCACCAGGACCTCGGCAGCACAGGAAGTCACCTGTAGAGCTCTCACACCTCTCCCTGCCCACCCACAAGGCGCACAGAAACCAGGCTGTGTCAAGGAGAGGACTCACCCAGCGCCTCCTCTCTCTCTGCCAGCATCTTCAAGTACTCCTGGTGGCGCTGGAGATGGACAGGAAGGGAACGCAGTGAGCCTGGTGTCTGAGCGCAGTCTCAGGCAGGGGCACTGCTCCGCTCCACAGTGGGTGGGGACACCCGCGCCTTCCCTAGGCCGGGGGCACTGCTCCCCAGCGCTGCACCGTCAGCGCCATCTCCACTGCCCCCCACACCTCCTCCCGGAGCTTCTTCTGCTCCTCCTTCAGCCGCTGCTTAATCTCCTTGATGGCCGCCTTCTTCCGCTCCACCTTCCGCTTGTGGAAGCCGGTCAGGTACTCCCTACAGGAAGGAAGCAGGAGACTTGGGAGGAGACACAGGAAAGAGGGGACTCCTTCAAGAGAGATGAGCACCCAGGGCCACTCTATGTCCAGAGACAGCTCTATGCATTAACTCACTTAACCGTCATCGCAAGTAGGTATCAGTCCCTATTTTACAGTCTGTGTTAGTTGCCTAAGGTCACATGTACTTTGTTTAGTTATTCATTTTCGAGACAAGGTCTCCCTATGGAGTTCAGGGTGGCCTTGAACTTGAAGTGACACTCCTTGGTCAGTCTCCCTACTGCTGGGGTTACAGGCTTGCGCCACCACACCCAGCTCTTGTGCGTACTTAATGACAAGGACACATGCCGAGAAACAAGTTGTTAGGGGACTGTTGCTGCTCAGAACTTAGTGGACACATCCACCAACCTAGCCGGGACAGCCACTGCACACCCAGGCTGGACGGTCCGCCGCGGAGTGGTTCAGCAAGATGGAAACATTACAGGTCACATGACAGCGGAAGTGTGGGAAAAGCTGCTCTTTCCGCTGCACACTCTCACTTCAAACGAGGCCAACTGGGAGACGCACGGGGCTGGTAGCGACCCCTTTTAAACTGTCACATTTCATTACTCAGCTATTAGGCCACTTCTGGCAGGACTTTGAAGAATGCATTCACCCAGGGGCTCCAAAACCCTCTGCTGCCGGGTGTGGTGGAGTATGCCTGTAATCCCAGCACTCGGGAGGCTGAGGCAGGAGGATCGTTGTGAGTGTGAGATCAGCCTGGGCTACAAAGTGAGCTCAAGGCCAGCCTGAACTGCATAGCGAGACCCTGTCTCAAAAACACAAAAACAAAACACAACAAAACCCTCCGCTGGACCAACATCCATTTCCCCAGGACACCTGCCCCTGAACCCAGCTGTGGGGCCCACTGGTGTCACCCCGGAATTTCCTGGTGATGCCCAGGAATTTAGGTCTCTCTCTATCATCTGATCCGCGCCGGCTGCTCTTTACATTTGCTTCTGGCGCCCAGCACTGGGCTTTCCGCAGACGCGCTGCCCCTGGCATTTGAACGCTGAGGCTCGGCGGTGCGGCTTCCGGGCGCAAAGCCTGGCAACGCCGCGGAGCCTGACAGGTGAATGAATGAAGGTACGCCACTCTCCCGCGAAGGCTAAGAGCCCGCTATCTGCAGGGCCCAAGCCACGGCTCGGAGCGTGCAGGGCGCGCCGGGCGTGACGCGCGCCCCGGAGCCCGCGACGCTCCCAGCCCGGGCGGGGCAGTCCGGGAGGTCCTGCGCAAAGGCGGGGCCGGAAGAGGCCGTAGAGGGAGCGCGCGCGACCCGGTCTGGCTTTGGCTTTGCTGGGCAGCCCGAGGGGATCCTGCCCTGCCTTGCCACTCACCGCCTCTTCTCTTCATCGAAGCTGAGGACGAGCCGGGGCCGGTCGTTACCATCTCGTTTTTTCTTCTTGTTTCGGCCCATAGTAGCGAAGCTTCCGGCGGTGCGGCTCCCTATTGCCTAAGAGACTTCCGGGTGTAGCCCCCACAGCCTTCCGGCACACCTTCTTTGCATGGCCCCACAGTTCCGCTCGCCGGGTCCCGCCTTTTAAAGGGGCCGCCCAGCTTGTTATTCTCGTCCCTTCCATGTGTATTGCTCTGGTTCTCGCCTTCTGAGTGACTCCCAGGCGCCTCTCTCTACCCTAGATTGGCTTCAGTGAGCACGAGGCTCTCAGGCCCCATCGCCTAGGACGATGATCAATATGAACTTACTCGTGAATGGTCAAAAGAGAGTGGTCTTTATTTGGTTCTGATATCAACTCGTTGGCATCTCCAAAAACAAGACACACTGCCTGGATTTGAATTCTGTGCCCATTAAAGCTGTGTGGTCACAGGCACTGCTTTCTAGCTAGCTGGGCCCAGTGCACAGGGTGCCAGACAGCTGTTTCTTTGTCCAGCCTCTTCTGCCTCGTAGCAACCACCTTGGCATCTTCCCTGTGGGTAGAGGCATCGCCCTGGCTGCAGCGATCCTCAGTGAAGATGCCCAGAGAGCTGCCTTCTGTAGCTGGGCTGCCTCCTCTGACTGCCTGGCTCTAGTGCCCACCCAGATGACAGCTGATAAAAAACGAAGGCTCTGCTGCTGAGCTGGATAAATCAGAAACCTGCCTCTGTCTTTTTTTTCTTTTTTTAATCTTTTTGAGAGAGGGTTTCACTATGCACTTCAGGCTGGCCTTGAGCTCACTTTGTAGCCTAGGCTGGCCTCGAACTCACAACGATCCTCCTGCCTCAGCCTTCCCAGTGCAGGGATTATAGGCGTGCCGCCACCATGCCTGGCTCTGATTTTTTTTTTCGTGAGACAGGATCTTGTTCTGCAGTCCATGCCCAGCTAGAAACCTGCTTCTCTTACCTGATCCTTCATGGACCCCTTTCCTCTCTACCTATCATTCATTTGGACATCTTCTGTGCCAAAGATGTTTCCAGAGTCTCCCAGTGTAGTCCTTCAAGCCTCCTCTATGGATGAGCACTCCGAGACTCAGAGAGGGACAGTGACTTGACCAAAGCTGCTCATCGAGTGGGATCAGAGCGCTCTCGTCTATGCAGTGTGCCTCGCCCCTCCCAGAGCTTCTGGTACGGCACAGAGACAGGACAGGCAAGGAGGCTGAGCCTTGCACAGATCACAGCTGGCAGCACTGCACGGCTGGCATTTGCTCTGTCCAGCCTTGGCTGCAGCCCCTCAGAGCTCAGGGAGGCCCAGTCACTCCAATGCAGCGTGGAGGTGGCCACTTGGGTCTGCCACTGCTCCAGACCCTTCCCAAGGCATCTCAGGACCCCTAGGTCCCAGGAAAAAAGATATTTCTTAATTTACTGAGCATCTGCTGTGTGCCAGGCACAGCAAGAGTTGACCTATTCTCTGAATATAAATGATGAATATCAATGATGAAGACAGTGAACAAAAAGAATCAAACAGCCAGGCATGGTGGCACACACCTGTAATTCCAGCACTTGGGAGGCTGAGGCAGGAGGATCGCTGTGAGTTTGAAGCCAGCCTGAGCTACAGAGTGAGCTCAAGACCGGCCTGAACTGCACAGCAAGACCCTGTCTCAAAAAACAAAACAAAACAAAACAAAACAAAACAAAACAAAAGGAGTGGAGAGAGCCAGCATTACAGAGCGTCTGTCAGCTTCCAGATCTTGGCTCATCCTCACAGACAGAAAACTGAGGCTCAGAGATGTTGAGTAACTGGCCCAAGAACACCCAGGAATAGAGCTGGGGTTTAAATACAGTGACCTGTCCTTCCTGCCCAGCGCTGTATGTCCTGTAGTCCAGGCCTGGAGTATAGTGGGTGCTCAGCCAGCCTTGGGAGAATCTGCGTGTGAACTGAGCGGAGAGAGCCTAAGAAACACTTCCTCTGATGTCCAGCAGAGGGCGCCCTCTGCAGCCAGGTTGCTAAATGTGTCGCTCTCTGGGCGGCCGCTAGGGAGCCTCAGGAAATGGGGTGTGTCTCACGGGACCTTCGTCAATGTATGTGCTCCATCCTCTTAGGACGGAGGTTCGATAAATGGCCAAATTGCCAAGACCGGGTTCCGATTTACAATCTTCCTGCATCAGCCTCCCAAAGTGTTGGGATTACAGACATGCACCACCATGCCTGCCATTAGGACTCATTATGTCACCCAGAGCCCGTTTCATCCCCTTCACATTGGACAAACTGGTATAGGACGAATGATATAGGATTTCCAGACCATATAAGGGGAATATAATTCCCAACCTGCTAGATGTCCCAAAGCCAAGTTTGTGTCCCATAAAATCAAGGAATGAATTCTAGGAACAAAGGAGGTTCAGAGTAGGAGGAATCTGAGAGAAAGAAAACCTAAGAGACAGAAGAGGGCCTGGATAGTGGGTTGCCCATCAACCCCACTTCTCAAGGGTGTTTACTGAGCAAAGCCAGGAGGTGAGGAGGGTTCAAGGTGGGACAGAACTATACTCAGTAAGATTACAAGTAGAATTGCTTAGGTAATATTGATCCAATAGGAAATCACAGGATGGGTGTGAGGTGGGAAAAAACTATGGTCAACCAGTCAGATTACAAGTATAGCCACTTGGGGGGTTAAATAAGGACCAAATTGGGAAGCAAGTCCTACACAAGCACACATGGGGTGGACAAGACCTTTCCTGGAAGGGGCGGGGTAAGGAGGTTTGGTCCTCCACCCCAAGGTGACTGATGCCTAGAATATCAATCACTGCTGTTCCTCCCTAGGGGAAGTACATGCGTGAGTAGTTCCTCCTTTTCTCCAGGTCTGGCCTTCAGTGAATGCGCCTCCAGCCAGTTGTCTTCTCCACTGACCTTTTGAGGGCTCAGCCCTGTCAGACTGTCTACAATATTTCTAAGTAACTTAGCTATCTATAATAAAATGACATCTCACAAGGTAGTAAGGAGTAGGGCATGGTGGTGCAGGCCTGTAATTCTAGCTCTAGAGAGGCTAGGCAGGAGGATCGCTGTGAGTTTGAGGCCATCCTGGGCTACAAAGTAAGACCCTGTCTCAAAACACAAAACAAAACAGTGGGGAAACCATTACCTTTCCCCTGAATATTTACTGTGACAGCACTGAACTTTGCTTCATTCATGTAATCTTTTTTTGTATTGAGATAGGGTCTTACTATGTACTCCAGGCTGGCCTTAAACTCACTATGTAGTCCAAAACGGCCTCAAACTCATGATCTTCCTGCCTCAGCCTTCTGAGTGCTGGGATTATAGGCATGCACCACCACGCTTGGCAACATCTCATGTAATCTCGAAACAACCCTAGGATAGCTGTATTATCCCTTTGTATAAGTAAGGAACCGAGGCTCGGAGAGCTCAATTAACATGCACCAGGCCCCATACGCAGGAGCCCCTTGTCTGATTCCAGATCTTTAAAAATTTTTTTCCTTAAGAAATAGTGGCCAGGGCCAGGGATATAGCTCAGCGCTACAAGCGTCTGCCTCGAAAGCGCAAGGTTGAGTTTGATTCCTGGTGCAAAAAAAAAAAAAAAAAAGAAAAAAAAGAAATAGTGGCCACAGCTGGGGATATAGCTCAGCAGCACAGCACCTGCCTGGCAAGCATGAGGTCCTGAGTTTGATTCCCGATACCAAAAAAAAAAAAGAAATAGTGGCCATCTGTGGGTTCATTTCCCAGCACTGCAAGAAAAAAAAAAGGCAAGGACTGGTCCTGGTTCCTGTTCAGTGGTCTGGAGCTTAGCGCTCTACCATATGCTATCACACACGCGCGCACACACACAGAAGGTTGGTTCAGGAGGAGCAGAGGCGGCTGCCTTTATTGGGTGCCACGGGCTGGGCGGCTTCACTCAAAGGCCATGCACTTGATCTTAAAGTCACCATCAGCTGCCAAGTAGTTGATGGCCTCCAGGCTGAGGCGGTTGGGGAACTTGAACTGGTGTCCATCCGGCAGTGTGATGGTCAGGTCGGTCTGATCGAAGGAGATGCAGATCTGTGGGGCGGGCAGAAGGGACGGTGAGCCGGGCCCTAGCCGCACCCAGGTGCAGGGCAGCAGTCAGCGGTTCGGTGAGGAGAGACACTCCCGTTTATCACAGGGCCAGGGCTGGGGTGGGGCGGGGAAATCTCCAGCTGGGAAACCCGGCTCCATCACTGCCCGCCCGTGCCCGCCCGTGCCCGCCCGTGCCCGCCCGTGCCGGCCCACCTCCACCCCCTGCCCCGGGCCCCGCCCACCTCCACCACGCTCCCGGGCTGGAAGGGGAAGGCCGGCTCGCGATGCTCCGCCCCCCAAGCGCCGCCATCCTTGCTGTTGCACACGATGGTGCCCGTGCCCGCCCGTGCCCGCCCGTGCCCGCCCGTGCCGGCCCACCTCCACCCCCTGCCCCGGGCCCCGCCCACCTCCACCCCCTGCCCCGGGCCCCGCCCACCTCCACCACGCTCCCGGGCTGGAAGGGGAAGGCCGGCTCGCGATGCTCCGCCCCCCAAGCGCCGCCATCCTTGCTGTTGCACACGATGGTGTTGGTGTCCCCGTGCGCGTTGAAGCGAGGGTTGAAGTGCAGGCACAGGTTGTTGTTGTCTTTGCCCAGGTTCAGCACGAAGCTAGGAGGGGCGGTTGGGCTTAAGGGAGGCTCAGCCAGGTCCAGGCCCCCAGCGGGCCAGTCTGCCACCCAGGACTCCGGGAGCGGGGTGCACCCGTGGGGACACTCATCAACAGCTGACCAGAAGCTCGGATTCTAGTTCCAGCCCTGCCACCTGTGTGACCTTGAACTAGTTGTTCCCGCTCTGGGCCTCAGTTTCCCCACCTGTTCCCTGAGGGCTGCACAGGAAGCGTGTCGAAGGGTCGAGCTGTGCTCGCAGCTCAGAGGGTCCTACATAGTAGTTCGCATCCTAGTCCCCTTGGCCAAAGTCAGGAAGTCCCTCCAGATGGTAACCTCCGTAAGGGTAAGAGGCCTGTCCGTCTTGTTTTGTTTTCTGAGACAGGGTCTCACTATGGAGTTCAGGCTGGCCTTGAACTCACTATGTAGCCCAGGCTGGCCTCAAACTTGTGCCGATCCTCCTGCCTCAGCCTCCAGAAGGCTGGGATTACAGCCTTGTGCCACCACCCCCGGCTGTCTTGTCCTGTCCATCGCTGAATCCCTGGTGCCCAGACGGACACACAGTGGCTGGCTGCTCAGTCACTGTGGGACGAATGAATTAATAATATTAAATCTGTGGAGTGGAGCAACGCCCACTTCCGAGGGTTTGTAAGGAAATGAGAGCGGGCGGCTGGTCCTGACCAGCGGATCATCAGCATCCTCATGACCCAAGCACCCCTCATTTCCTCCACATAATTCTGCTTATTAAGAAACTGAGGCTCCGTGAGGTTGGGTGACTCATCCAAGGTCAAATGGCGGCTGAGCAACCAGGCCGCAGGCTGTACGAAGGATGAGCCTGAGCAGATGGGGGGCCATGGGTCACGCCCCTTTCTCCCCCTCCCCACCCAGCTGCGGCCGGGCCCTCAGTCCGAAGGGGAGAGGCGGGCCAACAAGGCCTGCGCGGCTGCAGCTGGTTCGGTTTAAGAGACTCCAGCAGACAGGGAGGGAGGGGGCGACAATGGTGGGGGCGCCCCGGGCCAGCGCAGGAAATGACTCACCCAGAAAACGCAGCATCGGCAGCTGGCCATTAACCCCCTCCCGCCGCGAGCGCCAGGTTCGGGGGCCGAGTGCGCTCCAGCCCCGCCCCAGCCCCGCCCGGAGCCCCTGGCGCCCGGCCCTCACCTCTTGGCTTCAGGGGCCACCTCGCCCCGCACTCGGAGGCACTCCCCAGGTTTGAGGTTCAGGTTGCTGGCGACCAGACCCTGCGCAGACGAGACCCGCCCGCCCAGCCGGGTTAGGCGGTCGAGGCCTCCTTGGCCTGAGGTGTCCTGGGGTGGTGGGCAGTGGGAGTCGGGTGGTTCAAACCCTGCGTCCTCACACCAGGCAGGAGGTGAGGCGGGACTGCACGAGGTGCAAGATCTAGCCTTTGATTACCGCGGCGGGCCTGGGAAAGGCCCTGTTCCCAGCAGGGTCTGTTTCAGTGTGAAATAGGAGAGCCCGTCTAGAAGTCGGCTCTGGTCGAGGCCAGTTTATCCATCCGCTTGGGGATTCCGACTCGGAATGGTTGGGGGCGGGTGGGACTGCACCGCAGCCTGCTACTGCAGATGGAGAGGACCTCGTGGGATCGGGCAGCCCCTTGCCCCTTCCCTGGTCTGTAAGTGGCCTGGGACCCCGCGACTTCACCCATCCCCTTCAACTCCTGCCTGCAGACAGGCGCAGGGGCTGGAGAGGACGCGCTGAGGGACAGTCAGGGCCCTCTGCACAGCGGGAGCCGCCAGAGGTCAGGGCTTCGGCCAGAGAGGCTCGGGATGAACCAGCCAGCAGGGCCGGCGCCCCGCCCCGCGAGCCCCTGAGGGGTGGGCAGAAGCCAACTGGTGTGCGTGGTTCCTTCTGCCAGAACTTTGAATCCTTTCCTTGGGCCTGCGAGACCCTTGCCTCCCTCTCTCCCTTCCATCCCGGGCCCAGGCCCTACCGGACCTTCTGGACAGAACCGCCCTCCACCCCTGACCCAGGCAGCCTCTGCCGGTTGGCCTGTTCCCAGCCCCAGCGACTTCGGTGACTTAGCCCTGGCCCTGAGAGCTGGACAGCTGCAGGGGGGGAGGGGACAGGAGGCTCTCTCGTGGAGGAGGGGAAGGGATAGTGGCCTGGGCCCAAGTGCCCCCCTGCAGTTGGCCACACCCTTCCCACTCCCACTTGGCAGACAGCTGCAGAACTGCGGAATGTCAGACCTTGCAGACATAACTGTGCTGTCAGACTCTGGAGGATCCGGAAGACTCCTAAGCTAGAGAAAGTTTTGGGGGACCGTGGTCCCCACACCCATTTTACAGATGTGCCACTGAGGATCAAGAAAGAGAAGGCACTTGTCCAACGCTACAAGGCAAGAGCTAGAACCCAGCTCTGGCGCTGGCCCCTCTTCTCTGGCCATCTGCTCCCGCCTTGTCCCCTGGGCTTTGGGGTGGGGTCTCCACACTTACACAAGCCATGATTGAGGCCAAGAGGATGTTCCGGGGACCGCTGCACCAGCTGCCTGAGGACTCCACCCGAGAGATGGGGCCGGCCGCTCCCACCCTTTTAACTGGACCAGACCCCGGTAAGTCCCGCCCCCTAGAAGCTCAGCCAATTGCAGGTCAGGACAGGGCTGGGGGCCATCGCAGGCGGAGTCAGTGGAATTTTGAAGCCAGTTCTGGAGCAAAGGTGACCAATCAGAATGGAGAGACCCACCCTTCCCCTTGGGCACGCCCCCAGGACCCAAGCCCCACCTCCCATTCTCCATCCCTCTCCCCCAACCTAAAAAAAAAAAAAAACTTTTGCCGTGGCAGAGATTGGGGGAGGCCAGTGGAAAATAGTTTGAGGATGAGCTAGGCCCAGGAGTTGGCGGGAAGGGGCTTGGGGCCAGGAGGCTGAGCCCGGGGGGTGCCCAGAGGGATACTGGGGGGACGGTGCAGAGTTCTTGGGGAATCAGAGGGGGTAGGAGAGGCTGCTCCCTGGCAGTGCCAGGGCGGGGCTCCCCTTTGAGCCTCTGCAGAAGGCTAGGGACCCGTTACCACAAGGCCTGGCCCCACCCGGGCTGCCCCCGGAAGTGGGGACAGTGGCTGAGACTCGTGCTGCTGTGCTAGCTCAGGCTAAAGAAAGGCCGGGCAGGGTGCCAGGCATGAGGCTGCCGGCTGGCTGGAGTCTCCCGCATCGCCCCCCCTTGGAGGCCTGCTGGGGACTCTCAGAGCCCTCCCTGATTCCCTGTACCCATCTGAGAGGGTCAGGCCTGGGAGGCGGCCCAAGGTGGGCCCTGCTGGGAGGACTGGGATGCTGGCTCTGTGTCCCCCCTGCCTGCTCCCATCACCTTCCCCCTTTCTGAGGCCAGGCTTGTCCTTGACTTCCCCATCTGTCCCACAAATATTCTCTGGGCCTGGCCCTGGGCTGCCTTGGGTTGGGAGGTGGATACACCCTCCTGGTCCCTGTTCTGAAGGAATCCAACCATGACCCTAATTAAGAAGTGGCAACCGGGGCGTGGTGGTGCACACCTGTAATCCCAGCACTCAGGAGGCTGAGGCAGGAGGATTATAAGTGTGAGCTCAGCCTGGGGAACACAGTCTGACCTTGTTGCACAATTTAAAAAGTAAAAGGGGCTGAAGATGTAGCTCAGTGCAGATGCCCTGGGTTCAATCTCTAGTTTTAAAAAAAAATAAAGTAGCATAGCAGCAGCTCTAAGGGAGGCCATGCCCAAGCCTGGTGGCAGGGGGTAGGCTGCAGAATGTGAAGGTGCCTTGAAGGACCAGCAAAGAAGAGATGGTGTTGCAAATTGGGCAGCAGCTCAGACCAAAGGCACAGGTGTGGGAGCAGGGAGCCTTGGGATATGCAGGGCAGAAAACCGGAGATTAGGCCCTGGGTTGTGAAGGGTCTCGGGGACTGGGGAAAGGGGTTGGGCATTTATCATCTGAGGGTGAGAACTGAGGCGGGATTCAGGCTGCTGGGAGGATCCCCGGAGAAAGCCTCGAGGCTGGCGGGACAGGGGAAATGCTCCCCTCACACTCAGGAGCCAGGGCAGACGGAGCCTGCTGGTGAGGTTGTCCAGTCCCCCTTCTGAATCTTCAGCACCAGAGAGGCAGGAGCTGCAGACAGGAGTGAGTCACTGTTTAGGACCAGCGCAGCCAACTGGCCCTGCTCTCCCTCCTGCTCCACAGGGCAGGCTGCTCCTCTCCACCACTGAAGACCCTGACACAGGAGGAAAAGGGAGGCGGCTGCCCCTCCTCCCACCCTGTGGCTGCCTGGGAAACCAACCACAGCAGCTTCACTTCTTCCTGCGGGGCCTCCCCAAAACCTCAGGTCTGGAGAGCGCTGGGTGGGGCTCCGTCCAGCTCTGCTGCCTGCCCTGCCCTGCCCTGCCCTGCCCTGCGGGGCGGCCCAGCCAGATCAGTGCCAGGCATTTCAGGTGAGCCCTGGACTGAGGACTGAGGACTGTCTGGCCCGAGTGGCGGTCACAGCAGTGAGGGACAGCAGTCTCCTCCACTAGGTCTCCTGCCGAGGGTGGAGAGGGCCCCTGGCATGGGAACAGTTGCCCAGCTGGAGACCTCGTTCTGCTCCTGGCCCTGCTATGCACCTGCTGTATACTGGGAGTCTTGGCTCCCTGCTGCCTCAGTCTTCCCATCTGCTGCTGGTCAGGTGAAATCCTGCTCTCCTGTATGCACCTGTTTTACACAGGGTGGGACTCAGCTCTGTGGTACTAAACAGGTCATTAATGTCTCCATGGAGTCTGGGTTTTGTTTTGTTTTCTGTAGTGGGGAGAGAACCCAGGGCGTTTACATTGTCTTACGACAATGATTTGTTTTCTTTTTCTTTCTCCAGACAGAGTTTTGCTCAGTGGCTAAATTGGCCAGGCTGGGCTCAAATTTATAATCCTCCTGCCTCAGCCTCCCAAAGTGCTGGAATTACATCACATGGGGGTTGACCTCATCTTTTTTTTTGTTTGTTTTTTATTTTTGTCTTTTGACAGGGTCTCGCAATGCAGTTCAGGCTGGCCTTGAGCTCACTTTGTAGCCCAGGCTGGTCTCGAACTCCCAATGATCCTCCTGCCTCAGCTTCCCAAGTGCTAGGGTTACAGGCATGCGCCACCACACCCAGCTACAACCTCAGGTTTTAATCTCCCTCTTGCCCCTTCTCCCAGGCTGTTTTTACTTCTCGGGGATGTGGCAGCCCTTCTTAAAGGATTCACCTCCTCCCACTGGTCCCTAACAGTCCCCTCTTGCAGAGGCTGGAGTAGAAACACACCCTAAAACAGAACAAAAGTGCCTAGGGCGCCCCTCCACCAAGGCCTCAGGGCCTCTTAGTGGTGGCACCCACTTATCTGCCAGGCCCTGTGCCTGCCTTTCATTCCTTATCTGTGTCATCAGGTCACCCCAACTGTGTCTGCCCACAGACCAGAGCCTGTGGTGGCAGCTACAGCCACCATGGGACCTGGAGGCAGGTTTCCTGCCTCTGTCTCAGGCCTGAGAGGTAGGATGAGCCACTCATTGTCCTGCTGCCCGGAGGGTGACAGGTGTGGCACACAAGGACCTTTGAGGATGTGTGTCTCCCTCCCGTGTCCCCCCCAACCCCTGGGGCCGAGGTCTATGGAGGTCTATGTCCCTGTGATTCTGGGGTTCCCCTCCCTCCAGTCCTGCTCACAGTGCTCAAAGCCCTGAATTCCACGTCCTCAGGCTGGGCCTTGGCCAGGGGCTGCTCAGAGCCGCCTTCCCAGCAGCCGGCTCCCACCTTGCCCGGATAGGCAGCGCCTCCGCAGCTGGCGCTGGTGGGGAGGCTGTGGCCCACCGAGGTGCCAGCCACACCCCTAGATGTCAGAGCTGGTTGAGGGCCGGGAGGGCTCGCAGATAACCCTGGCTGCCCACTCCCCCATTCAGTGACGCAGAAACCACCCTGGGGGCTCCCTGGACCTAGGGTGGAGCTGGAGCCAAAGCCTTTAAGCTGTGAGCCAAGCAAAGAATGTGAGGGGCTGGGGCCTGACCTCAGCCTCCTGTCCAGGAAGAGTAGGAAGGTCCTGGGCTGGATGTCCCCCAACTTCAGATACTTTTCTGACGGCTCTGTGCGCAATTCCCCTTATCTTGTTAACCTATCCCCGCCTCCCTGTGGCTCGGCCTGCACCTGCGCAGCCGGCCAGCTCCAGCCCGCGGTGGGCTTCAGCTCAGAGCCCCCCAGTCCCTCCTTTCAGTTAAGGGTGGGACCCAGACCGCTTTATCCCTTAGCTCTCCAGGGCTCAAACTGAGCCTTTTAGATTGTTTTCACACTCTATTTCAAAATTATAGACTCAGGAAGCTAAGAGTTTTTTAAGAGCCCAGAAAATATTTGAGATCTGAAGAAAAATCTGGGTTGGCTCCAAAATGCTAAAACTGCAAAGTCGAAATTAGTAAATGTTTACTGTGCTCAAGGATAGTCTTAAAAATTTCATTACATTTGAAAACTTTGTAGGCAGGATTTTTTTTTTTTTTTTCCTTTTTTGAGACAGGGTCTAACTATGTAGCCTAGGCTGGCCTCGAACTTGTGATCCTCTGCCTCAGTCTCCCATGCTGAGACTATGGGCATGTGCCACCACACCTAGCTAGAGGTCTTCTTACTCTCAAAGTGTTTCCTACGAATGGCCAATAAAAATATGAAAAAATGTTCACCATCTCTGGCCATTAAAGAAATGCAAATTACTTGGGAGGCTGAGGCAGGAGGATTGTTGCAAGTTCGAGACCAGCCTGGACTACAAAGTGAGTTCAAGGCCAACATGAACTGCCTGGCGAGACCCTGTCTCAAAAAGACCAATAAATAAATAAATAAATAAATAAGAAATGCAAATTAAAACAATACTGAGACTCCATCTTACTTCAGAAAGAATGGCCATCATCAAGAAATCAAATAATAACAAATGCTGGCAAGGCTGGGGCAGAGGACTCTTCTATATTGTTATAATGTAAACTAGTACAACCACTATGGGAATCAGTAGGCAAATTCCTCAAAAGACTAAAAATAGAAATTCCATTTGACTCAGCTCTCTCCCTTCTGGGTATTTTACCAGAAGAGTTAAAGACATCATATTACAGGGATACATGCATACCCATGTTCAGCAAGATTTATAACAGCTAAGTCTTAGAAGTAGCCTATCAGCAGGTGAATGGATAAAGAAAATGTGATGTTTATACAGATGGAGTATTGCTCTGCCATAAAGAAGGATAAATTTGAGTAATTTGTAGGAAAAGGAATTGCCAGGTGTAGTGGCGCACACATGTAACCCCAGCACTCTGGAGGCTGAGGCAGGAGGATCATTGCAAGTTCGAGACCAGCCTGGGCTACAAAGTGAGCTCAAGGCCAGTCTGAACTGCATAGTGAGACCCTGTCTCAAAAAACAAAACAAACAAACAAAAAAGAACGAATGAACCTTGAGACCATAATTAAGCGTAAATATTACATTGTTCCTCTTATATGAGAAACTCAAAGTGTAAATAAATTAAAAAGCAAAATACAAGATAGATAAAAGGAAAGAGAACGATACATCTTTTGCAAATGGGAAGAGGAACAAGAGATGGGGGAGAGAAAGAGGGTAAAAAGGAATTAAGAGGCTGAGGCAGGAGGACTGTTGTGAGTTTGAGGCCAGCCTGTGCTATAAAGTCAGTTCAAGACCAGTCTGAACTGCATAGTGAGACTCTGTCTCAAAAAAGAACCCCCCCCAAAAAAAAGGAATTCAGATGTGTTGTTTACATGTACCAGCTCCCCCTGATGAATGTAATGTACTGCAAATGTATACTAATAAAATTTAAAAGATTTTGGCTGGGGAGATAGCCCAGTGGCACAAGCACTTGCCTGGCAAAGGCAAGGTCCTGCATTTGATTCCTGGTACCACAAAAAAAAAAATAAAGATAAAAAATAAAAAACCAGTCTAAAGCCGGGCGTGGTGGCGCATGCCTGTAATCCCAGCACTTGGGAGGCTGAGGCAGGATCACTGCGAGTTTGAGAACAGCCTGGGCTACAAAGTGAACTCAAGACCAGTAGGAACTGCATAGTGAGACCCTGTCTCAAAATGAATAAATAAATAAACAGACAAACCAGTCTAGAGGCCAAAGATACAGCTCAGCGGTACAATGCCTGCCTGGCAAGCAAGAGATTGCGAGTTCGATTTCCAGTACAAAAAACAGTCTAGCCTATAATCCTAGCTCTTGGGAGGCTGAGGCAGGAGGATTGCTGCAAACTCAGACCCATCCTGGGCTATATTGAGTTCAAGCCCATCTAGAATACATACTGAGACCTTGTTTTAACAAAATAAAAGCCAGGAGTGGTGGCATACATCTGTAATCCCGCCATTTAGAGGCAGGAGGATTGCTGTCAGTCTGAGGCCAACCTGGGCTACACAATGAACTCAAGGCCAGGACTCACTACATAGGGAGCTCCCGTTTCAAAAAATAGTGACAGAGCGCTTGCCTAATATGTGTGAGGCCCTAAGTTCGATTTCTGGCATTGCCAGACCAACAAAAAACAAAACCCCTGCCAAACAAAAAATATTATCTTTAGGGCTACTGTCTTGATTCCCAGTCATCGAAAACCTCACCAGAAACAAGTCACTTCCAATATACTCAATTCCATATGAGAGCTCATGCAGGGAAAAATTTGGTGTTTATCTTATGCTTGGAAGTAAAATACATATTGTTTTAGTATGAAAAAGTAAGTATCTTATAGATATACAAATATTACGTTTCAATCTTTAAAAGCAGAAAAAAAAAAAGCAAAGCATTATAGGGCCGGGGATATAGCTCACTGGCCCAAGTGCCTGCCTGGCAAGTGCAAGGTCCCAAGTTTGATCTCTGGTACCAGAAAAAAAGAAAAGCACTATAAAACATGTCCTTTTTTTTTTTTTTTTTTCCCCCTTGGTACTGGAAATTGAACTCACAACCTCACCCTTATGAGGCAGCCGCTATGCCGCTGAGCTATATCCCCGGTCCAACATGTCCTTAATACAGGATGGGGTGCAGTTTGGCATTTTCTTGGTACTGGGAATCAAACTAAGGACCTCACATTTGCCAGGCAGGCGCTGTGCCGCTGAGCTATATCCCCGGCCAGCCCCAGTGCTCCTTTTAAGTGTTTTTTATGCTGTGCCTGATACATGTGTTTGAAGAGGGTTTGTAGCTGCAAGAAACAGAAAACTTGACAGAAATTGCAGGATAACTAGTGAGTGATCCCTGCTACTCAGGAGGCTGAGGCAGGAGGACACTGGGCAAAGCCAGCCTGGGCAAGTTACCACAGTGGTGCCTCGGTTCACAAACTTAATTCTTTCTACCATTTTGGTCACAAAATGAATGAGATGAGAACCAAATCAGATTTCTCCGTAAGGTCACCATTGAACCCAACCACTGAATTTGATTTTGTTGGTTCTTGTACAATACGGTTTGCAACCACAATCATGGAAAGAATTACGTTCCTGAACCAAGGTACCACTGTATCATCCTATCTCAACAAAAAAAAAAGGCTGGGAGGTAGCTCAGTGGTAGAGCTCTTGCCTAGCATGTGTAAGGCCCTAGTCCCATCCCCTGCACAACTGAAAAACAAAAGGAAAGGAAAGCTTTCTAGTACGAAGTCTGGAGCTATCGGTTATTCAGTGGTCAGTGAAAAGCATGCAAGATCCTGGTTCTTGGGTAACGATGGTTTGTAGCTATGCAGCCAGCTGGTCCGTATTTTATGATACACAAGCTGAGGATCTGGGGGTAAACTATAACTTCTGTCACACACTTTCACATGGTGCATGTTTATATAAGGAGCTGTTAAGCACACTGCAAATATTAACTGCTGAGACTCGGTAAAGATCTACATGTTCCCTGTCTCATTCTGTAGTCCATGCTGGCCTTGAACTCATGGCAACCTTTCTGCCTCAGCCTCTGGAATGCTGGGATTACAGGCACATGCACAATGCCTGGCTCAAAGCATCATTCTTTTTCATGGGTAGGGGACAGAGACAGGGTCTCACTGTGTGATCCAGCCTGCCCGCTATCTTGTGACTGTCTAGCCATAGTTTCTCCAGTGCTGGGAGTTCAGATGTGCCCGAGTCCTGGGAAACCAGAGCTGTTTTGTTTGAACCTGGGGGCTTATGTGTGCTAGGAAGTGCTCTACCACTGAGCTAGTAAGTCCTTAGCACCCACTTCCTCTAAAAATGAAATAAACCTTCCCAGAAGCTCCCAACAGGCCATTCTTATGTCATATTGCACTTAAATCTTTATTTTAAACACTCGCCATATTTTTGATCAAAAATGTAGAGCAATTTCTGTCACACAGAAGTATTATGGTATGCCGCCATCCACTCATCTTATTCACTCGATCTGGCACCACATGACTTCTGGCCGTTCCCCAAAGTCAAAATGATCAAGAAATGTAAAGGTTTTGAACTGATTCATGACATCAAGGGAGCTAAAAGAAGCAACTAAAGACACTCAAGAAAGAGGACTTCAGGAAGCGCAAAGAATGATGGGTTAGGTGTGAAGTGAGGGGGGGATTCTGAGCGGGATTAATGGCAATGTGTTTTACGATAATAAAAAAAAATTTAAATTAAACATCTGCTGTATCCTTTGTTCAGATCTCATAAAACAGGATGAGAAAGAGGAACATGCTGGATTTTCCAAAGGACTAAGGAAATCGGTGGGTGAGGAATGGCGACGTACGGAGCACCGTGTCTCCGCACACTGATAGCTGAGCTGCACTGTGTCACGTGGGGATGGAAGGCAGGAGTGGCCCTGGCCAGAGACTCGAGGACACGGTGCACTCCTACTCGCACTTTATTAAGTACGGAGGACTGGTTACAACGGGTGGAGGTGGTGAGGAGGCCCAGCCCCCACCCCCATGCCACTGGCACACAATAATAAATAAACAGATAAATAAATAGCTGGGAGTCGGGATGGGACGTGGCACAGCAAACACTAGCTACGCGGGGACACCAAAGCCCCCTTCCGGGCTGTGGCCACCGACACTGGACAGGTACTGTGATCAGGGAGGGTGGCAGGCCCAGGGCCTCTGAGCACTCTGGGTCCCAATCTCCAGGGAGGATGAGGTCTTCACACCTGGCTCCTTATTTATCGACTAATATCAACCCTGGCTGGTCTGGTGGGACCCAGACTGTCTAAAGGAGGTCACTGTCACTCAGACTCCTGAATTGCTCTATTTGGGATCTAAGAGACCAGTGGGTCAGCATTACCTGGTGTCCAGAAGGGTCCACCCGGGACCCAGGACATGCAAGGATCGTTGTTCCTTAGCTTCTATTTGGTCTACTCAGGATGTGGCCTCAGCGAGTCACTGCCGCTGAGCCTTGACTGGTCCACTCAGGACAGTAACAGCATGCGGTGACCTCAACCTCCATAGGCCAACAGGAAGCGCAAGGTCAGGACCCAGGGGCAGGCAGGGCTCAGGCGTTCCCAGGGAGGGGAGGGCATCAAGTGCCCAGGCTGGGGGAAATCTTCAAGTGGCATCAAGACCCATATTCGGGGAGGGGAGGTGACGAGGCAGGAAACAAAGCCACTGGCTGGGTTAGGCCAGGGTGAACCTCCAAGCTGCAGGGGCAGCTTCCGGAACAGCAGAGCACCTGGCCACCGCTGGGAGGGGCGCGAAGGTCCTCACACCTTCCTGCTCAGCAGCTCCAGCAGGACACAGAAACTGAGGCGAGGGAGCCCGCAGTGCCTAAGGAGACTCAACGCCCCATCACTTCCATCTGTAGGACCGGGGGTCGGGAGGCAGGGGCCACGGCTGCAGGCCAGGCGGGCTCAGTCCTCCAGCCCCCCGATCAAGTCTGCGATGCTCTCCACATAGTAATGGGGCACGAGGTCGTGCTTGCCGGCTGCCAGGTAGGCCTGGGCCTCCTCCAGGCGCGACACGCCCGTGAGCGTGAGCACGGTGGTCATGCCGCAGCGGTGGCCAAAGAGGATGTCGGTCTCCAGGCGGTCACCCACCATGAGCATGCGGGCGGGGTCCAGGCTGAAGTGCTCTGTGATGCACTCAAACATGTAGGGGCTGGGCTTGCCCACCACCAGCGCCTGGCGCCCCGAGGCTGTCTCCACCGCAGCGGCCAGGCTCCCGGTGCCTGCAGGGAGACGGGAGACGAAGAGTGGTCAGCAGAAGGAGGCTGCAACAGCATCAGCTGGGATTCCAGGGCAGCTACGGACTGGACTACGGTGCAACTGTTTCAAGTTCGAAACCAGCCTGGGCTACAAAGTGAGCGCAAGGCCAGCCTGAACTGCATAGCGAGACCCTGCCTCAAAAAGACAGGAAAAAAAAGGTGGGGGGGATTTAGCCAACACCTGCCCTCAAAGGGGCATTCTGGGCATCTTTACAAAGAGGCACAGGGCCAGGGCTTTGCAAAGAGCAAGCACTTAGCAGACAGTAGTTGTTACTGCTATGGAAGCTGTGTCCTTGGCATCGGGAACTGGCATTGCCCCTCTGGAATGCAGCAGGGCACAGAAACATTCGCACCTCTGACCCAGTCGGCCTCCGCAGAGAAAGTGCTTGCAAGAAGAGAATTCCAGCCGGACACAAGAGCCGGCTCAAGATGTCTGTGGCCACAGGGATGATCACAAGTGATGGCGCCCAAATGTCTGACAGTGGGAGGACTGTTTGGAAAAGGATAGTCTTGTTTCCCGCCCAGTACCATCTGCTGGAACAGTGAGTCCACTGTACCGGACCCGCTGGCACAACCTGCACCAGAACACTCTGCCTTCACACCTATGTTGTCCCCAGCCAGATGATAATGATGAGCAATACCACTTATTGAGCCATTTTAAACCGCCAGGGGCTGTGATGGATGCTCATGGAAGCCCATTTTACAGACAAGAAAGCTGAGGCTCAGTAACATTAAGTAATGTGCTCTGGCTTTCCTGTTAAAGGGCAGTGAGTGGATTTGCATCCAAAGCTGGGCATGGTGGGACTTTGTCTGTAATCCTAGCATTCAGAAGGCTGAGGCAAGACGGTGGAGAGTCTGAGGTTGGTCTGGACTACACAGTGACCCCCAGTGTCAAAAATGAAAAGAAAAAAAAGAAAGCAGGGTTTAGGTCAGTGTGACTCAGTCGTGGGTTGGGCAAGCTTGGGAGTGTGAACTTTCATTTTTAGGAATTTTGTGAGCTGGTTTTGTTTCTGAAAAAGGCTCTCACTATGTTGTTGTTGTTTTCCAGAGTTCTCAGTATGCAGTTCAGGCTGGCCTTGAACTCATTATCAAACTCATGTTAATGCTCCTGCCTCTGCCTCCCTAGGACTGGATGTTGTACCTGCTGCACCTGACTTTGTAGACTGGTTGCTAATGGGGAGCTACTAAAGTCCATCTGTAAATTCACAATTAAACAAAGGCAACAGATTCTCAATACTCAGGACTTCCTAATTCCCTTTTTGCAGGAGGTACCGGGAATCAAACTCAGGACCTTGTACTTCCCAGGGGGCACTTGTGCTGCTGAGCTATATCCCCGGCCCAAATGATTTACAATTTGTTTGTTTGGTTTTTTTTTTTTGTACCAGCAATTGAACTCGGGACCTCGCGCTTGCCAGGCAGTTACTGTGCTGCTGAGTTATATACCCAGCCCCTAGGACTTCCTAATTCCTGTACCAAACTGTACCGCCACCTGTGCCCTGGAGGTCACTTACACCTGTGAGGGCGGAACTGCCTCTCAGCTCCCGGGTCAGCAACCTCAGCCCCGTTGCTCCAAACTGGCCACAACGGGTGTGCAGCCTCCGCTCACACCATCTCCCAGCACACCACTGGCCAGACCCTAACACTCTGGGCCTCCTCTCCCGCTCCTCACATCCAGTGACGCTCTGCTTGTGAAGCCAAAAGCACAGAAAAGAAGATGAATAGGGACAGTGAGAATCCTTGTACCCCGATCAGAAGGAATTTCCCCAGGGCCACAGGACCTGGGCTCAGCAGGCTAGAAAGCTCTCCCTGCTGCGCCCCTCACCAGGCACTGAGTGGTGAAGTCAGGGCCTTGCACACCCTCTATAAATGCTCTGGTATATATCTGGCTCTATCCCCAACTGCCCCCTCCTTTTCACACAATTTTATTTTGAGATAAGGTCCCACTGAGTTGCCAGGGCTGGCCTCCATTTACCATCCTCTGGCCTCAGTCTCCTTAACAGCTAAGATTACAGCCCTACACTACTATGCCTGTTTTTTTTTTTCTTTGTACTGAGTAAGGAAGCCAGGGCCTCGGCACTGAGCTACATCTCTGGGCCTTTTTTATTTCTGGAGACAGAGTCTTGCTAAGTTGCCCAGGATGGGCTTCACTTTGTGATCCTCCTGCCTCAGCCTTCCAGAGTGCTGGGATTAGAGGCCAAAGGTCACCATGCCTAGCCCCATTGGTGTTTTGTTTTTGGTGTGGTGAAGTGAACCTAGGCCTGTAAACTACCTCTGAGCCACCCCCATCTGTTGGTTTGCTTAAGAACTGTGCAAGAGTAGAACCATTTGCCCCCCTGGTTAGAGTATTTCTAGAATGGGACGGTCTCTCCTGAGTACCCCAAAAGGTTTTTCTCAGCTTTCCAGTGGCTCCAGCTCTGTGGGCTCCAGCTCTGTGGGAGCTGGTCACTCTCCAGTCCTCAGGTCTCACTTTCTCCATCCAGCGGCGATTCACCGAGGCCCAACTGTATGCCAGACTCAGCAGGCAGAGCAGCCAGGGCAGTGAGGGGACCTGGGCAGCCTGCAAACTCCCAGCTGAGCCTGAGGCCAAGGCATGGTATGCTGATAACATGATCCTAAAACAGGGACATTTCTACTCCACAGCTCAAGCGGCTGCTGCGTGGCGCGAGGTAAACACACATTTAGGAGCGAAGGGCGAGCTGGCAGATTTGCACACTTTCTGATCTTATACTGTCTTTGTTAGTATTTTCACACCACTGTTTTAAAGCTGTGTTACTGAGTCGTGCAAAAAAGCGCCTATGCCCACAGCATGGCAACCCTTAAGCATCTGTGGAGTGACTGGCAGGGAGGGGCACAGCCAGGTGGGGCCTGGGACGATGGGGTCTGGGACCACACATATCTCTCCTGGTTCCTCACGTCACTCACTCTGAGTCTCGGGGAACCTCTTACTCCACAGCCTTAACCCAAGCTGAGACCTTCACAGAAACACTTTCTTCACAGAACAGACCTTTTACTTGGTTTTGTTCATCTTTGTTTTTTGAGACAGGGTCTCACTATGTAGTCCAGGCTGGCCTAGGACTTGAAACAATCCTCCTGCCTCAGCCTCCCCAGTGCTGGGATTACAGGTGTGCGCCACCACATCCAGCCATAGAGCAGACCTGACCAGAGCCCTCCCCTTAGATTTATGGGGAAACTGAGGCTGGTGTGGGGAAGTGGCTAGTAGGTCCAAAGCAGAGCCAGGACGGACCCTTCCCTGCAACTGTTGTTAACACTGTGTCTGTGACCCCTCGCACACCGTCACCCTGCCCTGCACCTCATCCAGGAAGCCCTCCCAGGGCCTCCTCACCACTCTTCATCATCTTTTTTTTTTTTGTCTTTTTAAGACAGGGTCTCGCTATGCAGTTCAGGCTGGCCTCGAGCTTACTTTGTAGCCCAAGCTGGTCTCGAACTCTCCACGATCCTCCTGCCTCAGCCTTCCGTGTGCTGGGATTACAAGCGTGTGTCACCACGCCCGGCTGTTCACTCTTCACCATCTTGCCTCTACTGCATCACACTCCATCCCACCCCTCCCTTCCCCTACATGGCAGCAATGACTGACTGAGTTGGGGCCAGCAGAGAACAGTGACAGGGATCGGTCCAAGCCGGCTCCCCGCACTTATCACTGCCTGTTCTGCTGTCTCAGCTCTTATCTAACTTGAGCCCCGCCTCCTCTGCAGGGCTGCAAAGTAATGTTTACTGAGACAAAGGTCTCACTACGTAGTAGTGCAGGCTGGCCTGGAACTCCTATCAATCCTCCTGCCTCAGCCTCCTGAATGTTGGGACTACAGGTGTGCTCCACTACCCCTGGCTCTCATCTGCAGTAATTTGGAAATGAAGTAAGAACAGTTAAGAACAGTCGTCAAGGCGCTTCATGAAAAACCCTACACCTGGGAGGATCCCCTAAACTCACAGCTGAACACCCACTGTGTCATGCAGTCCCTTTTCACTGTCCCCTCCGGCGGAGCTGGCTGGTGAGCATCCTAGGACACGCCTGCAGGTTATGTAATCCAAGTGCTGCCCGCGAGGGGCTGGAACGGGAACGCAGGTCACTCCACCTGCCCCGCTCTCCACACACCTGCCCACCTCAGCCTCTAGAACGCCGTCCCACCCTCCCACAGGGGACAGTCTCTCCAGGCTTCTCCAGCCCCACCCCACGGTGGGCGGGACAAGATGTCAGGAGTGCAGGAGCAGACCTGGATTCCACCTACAACTTCCAGAGCTACAACCGGCCTTTTTCACTCATCTGTCAAACGGGGACCCCGCCGCTGCCCCTCACAAGTGACAGCCGCAGCAGTGACGAGACGTGAGCGTCTCTCGCGTCCCTCCGCATCCCCACTGCACCCCTGCCCTTCAGTGGCGGCGACGGCGCAGGTGCCCCCGCCTCTCCGCCTCCCAGTCCGCGCTCACCGGGGGTCCGGCTGCCGTCGCTGAGCGGGTGCCAAGGGTCGCGGTCGGTGGCCACGAGCAGGCAGTCGGGGTCGCGCAGGTGCGCGCACGCCTCGCTCAGCTTGGCGAAGGAGAAGCGCTCGTCGTAGCCCACGAGCACGGCGCGCACGCGCGGGGCGAGGCCGGGGTCCTCCGCCAGGCGCAGCCCCGCGGCGCGCAGCT